ATTAGGAGGTATAAATTCCTAGCATTTTATAGTAATCTACGAATACTAGCATCTTCTTTTCGAGTATATCGTATATATCGCTACTATATTTTATATCGTCGGGGTATAGTTTCGCGAATTCTGTTAATTGCTTTCCGATACGGTCTATTAACTCGTATAGTTAGAAGTCTATTAACGGAGAGACCGTAGGATATAGCGGTCGGTACGGTAGTTGCTACTATTATTATTCTTATAGAGGAGGTGGCTATAGGGTTGGTTCGACTCTTCCTCCTATGCTGTTAGCTACTATTGCCGGTCTCGTGATCTCTTCGTAGAATTCGGGGTCTTTTATCAGAGCCTTTAGGTTGCGATATCTCTTAACGCCTTGTTCGAGTTCTTAAGGTGACTAGTAGTAGAATTCTTCCTTTTTAAAGGCTAATGCTATGTTTTTCGAGATTTTCTTACTATCTATTTCGACGTAGACGCTATTACCGATTAAATAGTCTTTAAAGAATCGTAGGATTAGGGGAGGTATGTTCTAGAAGTCTTCTTCTAACTAGTCGGCGAAATCGGGAGAAACTTCGTTCTATAGCTCGAGGCTTATAAGATTCCTCTTCTTATAGGTCTTAAGTAGGAAACCTATATAAGAACCTAGTTACTATAGGCTAGCGTTTATAAGGTCGATTACCTAGTTGCTTTATACTACTAGATCGATTATACTTTCGATTCTCTATAAGATAGGGACTATTAATTAGCTTTTAATAGTAACGCTACTCGCGGGCGATCCTTCTCGTAAATTTCGCTTTATTCTAATAGTATAAAAGGATTACTTCTATTTAGAATCTTAAATTCTAATCCTTAATAGCGTTAGCTACGATTAGTATAAGATATAGGCTTAAAAGTAGGAGTTAAAAGACGATTCGGGATATTACGATTCTAAGGGGAAAGAATCGTAAAATCGGGGATTTTCGTCGGTTCGTCGTTTATTTCCGTTAGCGCTATTCTTGCTAATGTTCTCGAGGGGTATAAAGGTATATATAGGTCTCGAATTAGTAAGGAGAGAGTTTTACCATAGATTTTCTCGTAAATCTTTCTTTCTTACTTTAGGCTTTGCTCCTTACTATTAGGAAGTTTAGAATCTAGTAGATAGTTAGCCTTATAACGCTTATAACTACGTACGTTTCTCCTAAGTTATAGCCTCGGAAGTATATACGTATAGCTATATAAGCAGATTACCGCTAGTAGTCTCTACTTACCTTTCGGCGTATTCTTCTTCTAGTAGGGAGGTCTCTTATAGCAAGCGCCTCGCGGTTAGCACCTTGTCTAGGGATTTATTAAGAAACTAGCAGGCGCTTCGTGATTAGCACCGCGCGTAGGGGATAGTTATAGTTAGGGAAGTTGTTATCCCTTGTAGGATTCGTAAATCTTCGCCTTTATAGCGTAAAGAGGTTAGAAGACCGTCGATTCGGTAGGTCTCTTCTTCTAATAATTGAAAACGCGTAATAGAACGCTCTTGCTAGCGATAATTAGCTGCGATTAACCTTATCCCGCCTAGGGTAAGCGTAGCAGTCCTTAGGTTACTCGAATAATCGGATTGCTAGTAGATTCGAGGAAAAGAAGCTTTCTTCTACTAGTTTCCGTAGATCCTAGTTACTCTCGCTTCTTCTCTCGTTAGTACGAAATCCTTACTTTTACCTAGGCTTAGGTATCTAGTTTAAGAAGTCGTCTCTTCTAGTATTAACCTTGCTGATCTGCGGTTTATCCGTAGCAGAGTAGTAATTATAAAGTTAACTAAATTAATAGCAACTATAAGGTTTACTACTGATCAGTATAGGTTTTACAAGGGGTGAAACGGAATTCCGTTCGTTAATAATAAATAATAGTAAATTAGTTCTAATCGATGGTTCATGATAGTTGAAAGTGGTGTTGTTGACTAGAAGGTGGGGATATTCCCCCTTGGCCTGTCACGTGGGTCTGGGAGGCTTGGGCCTCTCAGCCTGGCGGGCGTGTGGCTGGAAGTGCCACACGACTCCGTATTCCAACTATCGCAATACAAACGGAAGGAATATGACCTTTTGATGTTTCCTACCTTTTTTTTTTTTTTTTTTTTAGCGGTGAACATGGAAAACGGCCGTTGTCTCTGGCATTCGGGTTCCTAGGTACATGTAGGTCACAATTTTGTGGAGGGGGCTAGCTCGGCCCGTTTCCGCCATCTCGTAAGGCCCGTCTAAAGATTGCATTGGGTACAGGCTTCCAGGAAATTGGCTCACATTCAGGAAGAGTCCCATATACACGCTCAAAATAATTTCAATTGCCCTGTTTGATCAGTATCATGAGGCAATAGTTACAAGGCCCTGAGTACATTCAGCCACTCAAAGGCAATTTAAACGTTTTCGAACTAATCAAGTACCCCTTTTAGGTACTTCTCTCTTCTAATTATTTTAGTTATTATAGAGACGATTTTTCCCTCGCAGAGCACCTTCCACTCACTTCCCCATTATTCATTAACTCTCTCCCCTCTACCATCTGTTAATTTTGCTCCATAATCTACTTTTTATCTCTCTTCTAACTACTTTGCTTGTAGAAACAACTCAACAGTTAAAGAGCGTTAATCTAACACTACCAATTCGTGAGTAACCCTAAATCTGTCTTGGTCGCAAGAGAAGACGATAGCGTCCCAGTGATATGACCAAATAGAATTAGAATTTCAAGTCAGATAATCTATCTAGCTTCAGAAGAGTCACACAATGGTTTCTCTTCTAGTTTTACAGATTCGATGAATTGGGCCAAGGTCATATCGATCCCCTCTCGCTCAAACGTAAACTGATATTCATCGTTATTTTCCGGCCCATAATGAACTTGGTGAACGCTATCTTACAGAGCTAACCATGCAGCCAACAGCGCATCATTATCATTCCAAACATGCTGCTCTGAAACGTCTGAGAAGATATCGTTATCGGCACCCTATTGGCACTCGTTGACCTCAAAAGCCTTACTGTACTGGTCAACTCACTCCTCATAAGCTTGGCACCAAGATGCGGAATATCTCTCTTCTAGTTCGTCATCGACGACATCAACACCACCTTCAGGATTCCCAGGCCATTCCCAGTCGTTGGAATGTTAGTCATGGTCCCTGCCTGCAAGCTACTATGCTTTCACGGCGAAGCTCAACTGAAATCATATAGACAGATGAAGCAGATATTGATAAGCGTCATCGTCCCCATACAACTCTAAAACTAGGCCATTGTTGCCTTTCTAAAGCAACTTGAAAACTACTCTTATCAGAGATTATACTTATATTATTTGAATGCCTATCGAAACGAAAGTGTAACAGTTGTACGTTTCCTTACCCTTGAATAGCAGTAATCATCATAAGACATATTGTCGCCCGATAGTGAGAGAGTTGCTTTAGAAAGACGCCGCCGAGACTTGCCAAAAAGGAAAATATGACGCAATTCTAGCTCAAGTACTTAACCTTAATTGAAATAAGAATCCTGTTACCTGTCTAACCGATTGATATGAAGATGCGATAATGATTATTATGATTAACGCGCATGGCGCATGCACTGAACTAAGTCGTAGCCGACTCCTGGAGTTGATGGATGACCTCCTCAACGCATCCCCTTGCCATCCCAAGATATTTGTCTCTAGTAGAAATGAATTAGTGATTATCTTTAAGTTTAATAACTATTCAAACTTCTGTATTTCTTTTCAATCAATGTCATCAAAAATACGTCTTTTCATGACAGGTAAGATGCAAAATTTTGTAAACTGATCCGATATAGTGTAACGGTTAACATACTCCGCTTTCATCGTCAGAAGTTCTTCAACGAACAGCTAGGCGCTCTCCGGAGAGCTCCGGGTTCGATTCCCGGTATCGGAACATGCTTTTTGAGAGAACGGGCAAGCTACTTCTGTCGAGGGGGGGAAAAGGAATTTTGAGGCTCATTGAGGTTTTGCTATTCAATTTCTGTTGTCCGGAAAAAGGGGCACAACACATATTTCAGATTGTCACAGAACAGTCAAGAAATTGGCGAGTCGTCAGCCATAGGTGTTTGAAATCAAGCCCCTGCATTTCATTGGCAAAAAAAAAAAAAACCTTCGGTTTTGTTGGTTGAAGATGGATTCGACTAAACGGGAGTCTTTGGCTTAGAAGATTAGATATCCCTGAGATCAAATGATCTTGGCATATCTCGCGACTTACATCAGGAAGTCGCTGCGGGGTATGAAAAGGGAAAGACCGTGCCATGGCATTTAGCAACGAACATACGATTTGAGAAGGGCGGAAATTTTGGTTGAACTTGTGGCCGAGAGAGGTGAAGGTGGCAGGAAAACCATGGCTGCTTTCTTAACAAGCATGGTGAATCTTCTCAGCCAATTAAGGCGTCATTCCGCTATTAGAGAAGCAACTACGCTATTGACAGCGTCAGAGCGTGGAACATCGCTGAACTATTGTTCTTATTGTTACATTAAAACATCTTCGAACACCTTGAGCTTTTCTTGCATGTAGCTTAAACCTTTCTCCAAGTCAACTTTCGAATTTTCAGTGGGGTTTCGAGGAAGTCATGACACCTTCACTTGAAAAGCGGAGTCGTTTTCAAATTCCTCGTATATCAACAACACAAACCCATTAACACGCCGTTGAAGAGTTTGGCGGGGTAAAAATTCAAAGCAGTCATGGGGCAGTCGATTGATTTTGTTGAGCTGGTACGGAATCCTGGCGCCACGTAGACTATGAAGGAAATCCGTCAGCAAAAAAGGGGGTTTGAAAAGTTAACTGCAAGCGGAGGGGCGGCGTTTCATCTATAAGCTCGATCGCAACGGCAATAGTCGACTTTGCACAGCGGCAGCTTTATCTTACTATTCCTTTTCTGCATCGATTTTACTCGTTTCAGAGGCCGAGATTCCTCACAAACTTTGTATGATTCTCGAAGGGTGACGGTTCCTTCCTAGCACTTGACATTGACGCCATTCGGCGCCTTACATGGAAGGAGAGTTGTGGTGTTAAGAGTAAGTTTCCGTCAAGGAGCAATGCTGAACACCCCGTTGCCATCCCACAGCCCTTTGTCCAAGTAGATGAAGGCCATCCGCAACACCTGATCGTGACAGTCAACCGGGACCTCTCCACTTTCGACAGCTGCGCGAAACTTTTCAGCGCTCATGGCGCTTGTGGTGCTGATGATCACCGTCTCGGTCGCCACGTAATCTGTTTACCTGGGATGAAGTTGCGACAGAGGGGAAAACAATACTACCAAATTGACATGGTTGATTGTGCTGTGTTTGCTTTGAAGCTGCTATGGTCTAAGGTATCTTAGAAATCGGTTCATCCCACATTTGACAGCCAGTCACAGGTACACAACCAGGTCCAAGTTTCTCCGCTTAGCTTAGCTAACGGTCATAAAAGCACTGTTGCACACCTCAGCTAAACATGGTAATTCCAGAGCACCCAATTACTGTGCCAAAGATTCGAGGAAGGAGTTCGCCCTCGGCGCTTTACAACACTCCACTAGTAAATGCGGCCTCATTCACGTACATGCCTTACTCGCCTCACCCTCCTCAACCTACACATTATGGATATCACACAAGTGAGGCAAAATAAATATGTGATCCGCTTCCTGATGGGTCGATAACGCTTGAACCACCTTGTTGTGTATTCTAACAAGGCGGACCTAAAAAAACCCTTATTTTTGTCTCCCCATAAGGCAAACATGAGAACTTACGGTTGGTTAGAGCTCACACAATATGTCTCTGATGAGCTTCACTTTATTTTTCTTGTTATGGCAATTTGTAATTGATAGGACATATAGTCGGTGAGTGTTGCACCATCATAGTCGTCGTCGCGCAGAGCTTGCACTCACATCCAAGGGCTTTCCCTAACCCCCTCTGGTCTTCATGCTCTAGGCTCTCTGATCTTACAGCACCAAGAACTCAGCACAACAAACAATCACAATATCTACAACCTATTCGTACTACAACCCGGGCGACCGTAGGCAGCCAGTACCCTCTTAGCATCAGTGGTGGCGCACAAGCAGATCTCATTCCAGCTGCCGTCGATCAGCGCCTGCCGACGTGTGTCGCCTTCGGCTGTGCGCGCTTCGCTCCAGGAGTTTCACCCGCGTCATCACAACTCCCACAGCCGCCTACCAAGAGACGCGTCTGCACAATACTGCTTTCAATTATGAAAGACCAAATACAGCGTAGTGCCAAAAATCGATTTAAACGGGCGGATAATCGGGTTCTGGCACGGGCCTGAATTCCACTGAAGTTCAGAAAGAAACATTGGGTTTGATGACACCGCCACGAAACGGACTGTAAGAGGCTCGCCCTACAGAAAAATAGCGTCTAGGCTTACGTAGCTGGGGCAATCCCACATAAGCATCGGGCGCAAGGACTGCTGCCACGAGTTGATGAAAGCAGCAGGCAGAGGAAACATTGGCTGTGACGCAATGTAATTGACTTGCGATAATATTATTAAAACGCACCCCGAACGATTACCCCAAGTTAGCAATCGCACCTGAACAAAAAGGGCTTCGTAAAAGCACCTCAACCACGCGCAATGAAGAGATACATTACCTTTATGATTGCTTCGCAGGCCTTGAGCCAGGTGGTGCGACCCGGGGGAACATTGGGAAGGTCTGAGCCGTCATTAGACGATCGTTCATTAGAGATTTATCGAGAAGCTATGCGCGCGCCAAATGCCACACGTTCTATCACCTTGAAACCCTGGGAATGGGCACGTGGGAATGATCCACGACTTGCCAGACAAGAGTGGACGTGGCGTAAGCATACCTTGCTATCTTGCAACGAATTGATTGCTGACTACTTCGGGTCCAGGTGTTAACGTTACCGACATTTCGCTCCCGCACCTCGCGTCTAGGTTCCCATCGATCAGCAACCCGCATTTTGTTAGCACCACCTACGACTTTACTTGGCTGGGTGGCGGAAACATATCAAGGACACTTGGTGGGTCAACGTCCCCCTTCTGCATCACCACGGTAGACACGGTGTTTCCGCCAAACATCACAAACCTATACAACGAAAGCAACACGCACACATCCGACTGTGAGGCCGTCCTAGGAAGTGACTGCCGCTCAAAACTCGACACCGATGGTAACAATCTGAGAGCGGGTCGCTGTGGGAGTCCCAGAACTATATGGAGCAAGATCCCAGAGTGTAGCGCGACGTTTGGCTACGCTTTACAGCCCGAGTTTGACACTTATTCACCCTTTGGGCTTTCTACGTTCAACATCAACGGGCAGCCTGGGAATAACACCCGAAACGATACCGAATCATTCATGAGCGGGGACGGCTTTTTCGAAATGAACACAGGAATAATCAATGGGTCTGAAGCTGCTGCAGCGTATCACAACGCCACGCATAACCTGCAGCTTTTCATGTTCAATACCTGGATCGACATTGTGAACGGCCAAATTAGCAGGCCAAATGTGCTCTGTATGAGAGTGAACGCGACAACAGTTAGTTCTGTTGCCGCCAATCCAGAATATACGATATGGGGATTTGGCATTGTCATATTCACCATTCTCAGTTTGGTTTTCTAAGAAGGCGGCAGGTATTTTGAGAGACTTGTTGATGTAGCCAATACTACTGCTTTTCAACACCGAAGTATAGCCCCCAGCATTCTCGAGAGAGAAGTGCGCTCCGGTCACTCCGGCCCCAGTCACTTGACCTCACCAGGATTCTTACCTTGCCTGAGCATTGTTGGGAACCACAGATGTTTTTGCTGTAGCTTTCATTGCCCATAGGAGATAAATAATTCAAGCAACCAAGATAACATTGGCGTCTAGCCAAGGCTAGCTGAGTCAACCAGCGCAACGAAGCGGTGGCGCGGAACAAGTACTATGATCTGCCTTGTTATCACATAACGTCCAGCTGAACGATATTTGTGGAGGCTGTCTACCTGTAGATAGATTCATTTCGAGAATATAGTGTTTGCATAGCCTAGAGACGATGGAATCAGGGCAACGGCACTTTAAAAATCCGGGATGCCATAACAAAGCAAGTGTCGGAAAAAGCTTGCATTACACTGCTCTTGTTTCTGAATTTAGGTTTATTCACATAAAAGAATCCAGCAGCTTGTATCCAACGAAGAATAATTACATCAAGTTCTGGAACGCAACCCCCGCAAGCGAGTCAATATCCGAGGGCCACAACAGCGTATTCGGCTCCGTAATATTCCCTTTCAATGGTAGCTATGTAGTCTTGACGTCGTAAAACAGTATTATCACGCTCTTGAATGTAGCAAGAGGCCACCTGAGTACTGGCTGGCGTTTAATGGCGGTAGCAGCTATGTCATCTGCATTCTTTGGGGCCCCTGTTGCTGACGCGTGGCGTTGTGGCTGATGCGAGAACGAACGAGTGGCCTCGGAGCGCTCATAACGCAGGATGCGCCAGCTCGGGAGCAGCGAGAGTATGGGTCGTTGTCTTGGCCTTGTAACAGCCGAGCACTGCACTATTCTCCAGAATGCATGCGGATGAGGACTTTACCACGGGCCCTCTTGCTCATGACACGTTCATACGCAGGTATAAGATCCTCCACATCAAACTCGGAATCTAGAATGACCTTTAGCCTTCCCTGGTTTGCCATCTCCACGAGACTTAGAACTTCATGTATTTTGGGAGTATTGCTGAAGAAGATGTACGGTCGAGGAATACCCCCGAGCCAAGTTGGACGCCAGGTGTTCATGAACCATTGAGCCACTTGTGTCAATATACTATCTCCCAATCCGAAAGCGCCGACGCTAACAAAAGGGCCATCTGGACGTAGATAGGTTGGCGAGTTTGTGTAGAGGGCGTGCGATCCCACACAGTCTATAATAGAGTCAAACGGCTGTGATCCAAAAGTCGAGGCTAGATAGTCGGGCAGCGAAGAATGTTTTTTGTAGTCGACAAACTGCTAATACAAACACGTGATCAGCAATTCTATCCAAGAAGTTTTTGGATCATGACAAAAGATGAAACATGCCTTGTCAATTCCATATCCTCTAACCAAACTCTCATTGACACCACTTGCAACTCCAACAACGAAGGCCCCCCGAGCACGGCACAGCTGTGCAGCGATATGGCCAACACTCCCACTTGCCCCATTAATGAGCACGCGTTGGCCCGAGCAGACCTTGGCTGCTCTAACTGTAGCCTGGGCTGTTGATCCGTTAGAAATGAGCCCAGCACCCTGGGCCAAGCTGAGTGTCGGATGTCCATCAGCACTGTGCTCGTCAACATGGGTGTTGAGCTTCGGAAGCGGCACCACATAGGCCTCCGGCAAGCGCATATATTCCTTCAGCGCACCTGCACCACAGAACACCATGCTCATCGGGTCCGTCATGGCCAACACCTGGGTGCCCGGCTGCCGCAGTCCCTCAGGGGCCTTTCCGCCGGCGCTGGCGACCGTGCCAGAGACGCAGAGCTCGGGGATAAGAGGCGGTAGAATTTGCAGAGATGGAAAAAAGTCCATGAAGTAAGCGATGGAGAATTCAAGCGCGACGTAGGAAACGTGGACGATGATGTCGCTTGAGTCCGGGCCAGGAACCGGCGGCGTGGGAAGCGAATCGACAAGCTTAAGTGACGACTTGTAGTGGCCACGATGCTGGCGAATCCAAGCTCGCATCGTAGGTGGTATAGATGGTGCAGATCCGGAGTGCTCCATGTTTAGCTACTGCAAGTTAACAGGCATGCATGCCACGGGACAGGGCCGCTGTACCAACTTCAGCTTCTCTTGATTTATCAAACCTGAAATGACGCACCATCTAGACTTGTATGCGTGCGTCTATCAGTTTAGTACGAGACAAACAAGCTCAAGTCTCTCGGAGATGTATTGAGCTCGACAAATCCAGAGGAAGTAGAGGATGTAGAGGGCGCAAATAAATAATAAAAAGGTCATGAGTGGCGCTATCGAACCCTCCGAATTTCCTGATTAGGCAATCTTTACCCTCCGAATAGAGTACCTCTGGTCGGAGACTGCACAATGAAAGAAAACACACCGAATGCACGGAAAGCTTTACTCTGCAGAAAATGACCGGATACTTTCTTTTTCTGATTTCGACAAGAGCTCTCCTATTGCTTTTCAAACGATGTTGTTCCTCCGAAACCAACATCAAGTAGGCACAGCAAGCAGGCTAAATCCCGAACCATCCAAACATATATAATGAGCTTATCCGATCACAGGCCACATGGGGAGAACATAGAACCTAACCAGACTTTCTATCGATAAAGGGTTAAATTCATACAGAGGTCTTTGACTACAGTCGCTGAAAACGACAAAGTGCTCGACAGCAACATCATGCATCCTTCTTCAGACAATCCCGAGAACACTAACGTCACAGATGTGAAACCAGCGAAAAGAGACTGGAGAGCATGATATTGTCGCCAACAGCCTTGAAGATTCAGTTGGGGGAAGTAGGGCGGGTTTTCAGTGCGTGGACAGAATTTAACAGTAGTAATCAGTAGCAATAAATGCATTGATAACGCAGCCGGTAGCTGATTTGAGATTTGTCAACCTTGGTGTCCCACTGAATCTCTCGTCACAGGCCCATCTTTCACTCCAGGTGGGGGAGATTCGTGCTTTTCAAAGAACGCAATCAGAGTCTGATATCAACTGACTCTTCAGCTCTTGGGAAAATGCCCAATGGCCATTGACAGTCACTTTGCTACTCATGGCTGTGCGATCAAGTCTCGATGCCTTTGATAACTTCAAAGCAATAGATAGACTTGATATACAATAATCACATCCTACTATTATGCTTCAGATTTTGGATACAGCTTGAGTCGAGGAGTGAGATTCGTTCAGATCTGCTGTACTTCATTCCTCATCTGATCAATATAAAGGCATAGGCAGCATGTTTCTATCAAAGTTACTGCTCTACTGAGAAATAATGATTCTACGTTTTATTTTACACGTTATGCTTATTCCGGCTTTTGATGTTAAAAATTGATTTTGGTGCTCTATTATTGAACTCGCTTCGATTGACGTTGCGTTGTTTTGACGCACTTTGTAAACATTAGTAATGTGGGTCGTATTCCCTGGGAAAAGTGGTTTTTACTTGTTTAGTACAGACCGTTTTGGTTGATCTTTCAAGCTGGAATACAACTGAAGGAGTTCCGATGGCTTCGCAAAGTTCGTATACAATCTACCAGGCGGGGAATGTTGAGACGATGGCCTGACTTTTCAAGTCCTTCCACTTCAGGAATAATTCCGGAAAATTCTGTAACTACCTAGCTGTCATGCCTCAATATCAAACGTTCCCCTAGAAATCGGCAAGCTGTTGCCGACGCTCGTATTCGTGTCAGTGCAAAACAGGTACAGAGCTTGCCAATTTTAAGAACGTTGTCTAGAAAGAATAATCCAGACTTGTTAGGTCTTCGTCATTTCTATGGTCCAAATGTACAATACTCGTTGTGTAGCATCTCTCTAGCTGTCTGCCTTTAGTCACGTTTCGGATTTATTTGGTGGTCTAGTAAACCGAACTGGCTATGACAGAATGGTAAAATACCCGAGGGGCAAGTCCCGGGAACAATCAACTCGAACCCTGGCTTCAAAACCTGGTTGTAGTCAATAACCAATATCACCGAAGACTCTACCCCATTAAAACAGCGCTAGATGTCAGGGATGCAACGCGACGATGCCAGTAAGATGAGAGATGAACAGAACTAGAACGTTAGGACAACGTCACATCGATATGATTTCACCTAGATCGTGACAAGGTCAATCACCTCAATTAATTTGTGTGGAGAAGCAGGAAGAAACATGTTGAATATTTAATCATGATGAATTCCGCGTGCCAAGAGAGAAATACAACAGTACCTCACTTTGCCATTCCATCATTTACTTCTAATTGTTGGCTTTCGCTCATTTATCAACAACCGCCTACCCGCAACAATGAAGTCTCTTCAAAGTATTTTGCTATCTCTGCTGGCAGCCAACAGCGCTGCAGCAGCGCCTGCACCGGCAGCAGACGAAGCCGCTCCTATCGAACTCCTGAAACATTCCCCAGAATTTCTCCAGCATGTTCACGAAATCATAAGCGCCACTCAAGAGGAAAACTCTACTGAGGTTGAACGGAGGTCAACCACCACACTCACCGGTAGCAAGGACGGCGTCAACACAGCGGGCTTCTATTATTCCGTGTACAACGACAAAAAAGCCAATGTCAAATACACCAGTGGTGATGACAACGGTCAGTGGAGTCTGACCTGGGACGCCCAGAAGGAGTTTCTGGCTGGCAAGGGGTACCGGTCTACCACGCCTCGGTAAGTTTTACCGCTGTCTTGTCCCCTTTCCAACAACACATTCCGAGATGTGGTTTGATTTTTAAACATTTTCATTGTCTCTTAGCTCTTTGACCTGGTCGGGTTCATTCAAGGCCAGCGGCGACTGGACGCTGGCCGCGTACGGCTGGACAACCAACCCCGTCACGGAATGGTATGTCGTCGACGCCCACGGTTCTGGCAAGCCTGGTAATGGCAAGCCTGTCGGCACTGTCACGACCGATGGCGGCGTATACGACGTCTACGACCTCTACTACTCCAACGTTCCCAAGATCTACGGCGCAACTTCTTTCCACCAGTACTGGTCTGTCCGCCGGGCGGCTCGCACTACCGGAGGCACCATCAACATTGCCAAGCATTTCAGTTCTTGGAAGTCAATGGGTCTGAAACCTGGTGCCCCTGTGTTCCAGATGCTTACTCTTGAAGGGTTTTCCGGGTCGGGATCTCTTTCCTTCAATGTCGCCTAAATATTTGATCCTGTTGCGATGGCCAAGTCCATCTCGACCTGACTGGGCATCAAATCCCTTACTTCCATAGTGTTTTTATTTCTGCAATCAGCTGGCTGGGCTCTAGTTGAGCTGTGTCGATACTACAAACCAGCTGATCTCGAGGCTGCTAGAACAGTCAAAACATGATCTTTTAGGATAGATAATGTTAAAAGGTCTATCTGATCATGCGTGTTCTCTGACTCTTTCGTATGTGTGTGTGTTCGGGCACTGGGGATGACATCACCGAACAGAGGGATAAAAGATGCGTTATTCGTGACGATGTAGAGATGGAAGGTACAGATGAATGACAATGTCAACTAACATCTTTTCCAAAAGTATTCTCTTTGTCTCCCCACTTAATGTAGTAACGTGGATCAGGCAAGTCCGGCATCTGCAGTTCAATCACTTCTGTTTCCTGGCAATCACAGGACGGCGTCGCCCACATCATTCGACCGACTACAAGTCCATTTTTCTCCAATATGGCCATGCCGCCGCGATGTGACCACTGATACTGGAGCCCAGGGATCCTCCATGCGTGGGCACCACGAACCTCATATGTGGGTGCATATAATCCGACGCGGAATAAAGAAGTCGCCCGGCAGTGCGAGCAAGTGATCGTGGCAATGTAAGCATGCGGGCCGCAATGCATGGTATTAAACCTGGTATGGACAAGTTCGAGACGATCATGACTGAAACCTTCGACGGTGGTGGTCATCAACAAGGCGTCTGCGAGCCAATGCAGAACAGCGTCTCCTTGGAGACCGAGAGACTCAATTTGCCAAGGTTTCCAGAAACAGCTTCCGCGATGCGCTTGTAAAGCCTCACTGAACTTATCGACGAGGTTGTTGTCTTTGAGATGCCGAATTATGTCGTCTGTGTTCGCCCCAAACAGTCTTGAGCCTAGAGTGGCTATGAAGGGATCCAGGTTCGGCCCGGTCAAGGTGAGAGCTGTTTCAATACACCACGCAAAATGAGACCAGGGATCTCCATAGGGAGGCACTATAATCATGTCTACCACGCCGATAGACTGAAGTTTCACGGACATGTCGGTTCCTTCAGGATCTAACGAGATTCCTTCTGGGTGGAGGGGTGATTCAACTTCGTTGCCCATATACCAAGTCCAGACATCGTTGAAGTTGTAATTTTCTTCAGGTTGCAGACGTCGATCGAATACGGTTAGTTTTGGGGTTAGAAGAAGCGGGCTATAGTCGCCTGCTAGGAGACAATCCTTAGCTATAGATACGAGTTCTGGATAGAATCCACCCGTCATTGCTTTTTGAGGGGCTCTAGTGATTCCTCGGAGAGCGTGGAGGAAGTCGATCCCATCACGGTACAACCATTTTGAGAGCAATGCGAAGGCCATGCCAAAGTTTGTGGGCTGCGAAAAGCGGATCTCTCTGAGAGGACCCAAGCACCACGGAACCAGGTTTCCCGAAATCATGTTGACACGAGCTTCAAGGGAGTATACACTGTCTCCAGACTTTTGAACCTCTTCGTCATATACTTTGTGAAGCTTATTGAGGAGCATGGGATCGTTGGAAGGCTCAAGGAGCAAATAGTCTGCAACCATCATCCTGACCTGTCGGCTGCGAACGAATTCCATTGCCGTCCACATTCGCTTAAACCACTTTGCTTTGCATATGCCAGTTATACCCGACAGACGCTCATCAAGTGTTTTGCCGTTTTGTAGTTGGTGAACATGATGTAGATGAACGTCGTCTAAATATGCGGTTGTTGTATGCGCCCGGTTGAAGATGTCTGGTATGACTTGAAGAATTCGATTCTTCAATATGTCTGTCCATTGGGGAACACTCAAGTAGTCATGCCAGAGTTCCCAATACCCTTCAGCAGACCTCTGGCATCCGCGAAAAATATGCATAGGCTCTTCTACGACAAGCCTTCTCACGTCCAAGGGTTGGGAGGGACGATGTCGACGTTGCTGTGTGATAGATACCTTGGGATCCCATACATGCGAAATGGCGAAAAGAGGGACCTGTGCCTTATGGATGCATTCCAAGTGCCTATCGAAGAGGAGAACCATTGAGCCCATGTGTGTATTGATGGCTTTGCTCCATTGAAAGCTCCGATCTTGGTAGGCATCTGTCGATGCCACTCTAAAGGTGCGTATGAGAGCATTCTGCCCGAAGCTCTGCTGGCAAACCAGACAACGCAGCTTCTCAGGCTCAGGCTCGTACCACCATCTCTCCAAGTCGGGGACTTCCATATCGGCGATTTGAGTCCCTTCTGCTTGATTGCTGGGCATTAAACGGGGGTTTAATGTAAGGCGAAGCCGAAGAGTAAGCGGAAAAGAAAAATTCGCGCCGATTTCTGCCTAATGAGGACGCGGGGTCCAAATGTCGGCCATCGTACGTCCCCCTGTTTCTCACTCTCCGGGGTTAACCATTGCCCATAGCTTACCTCATGCTCTCACACAAGAAAAAGCGCAAGCTAGACACCATCACTAACAATAAGAGAGATAAAGGCTGAAAAGCATTCTGTAGTAGAGATTCGCAGTACAAACGGCTTCGGATGCTAGAGTAATTTCCGAGTGGAGAACTTTAGCAAAACTACCGGAGCGCCCCCTTCAGCACCCCCGGGACCCCGAGACCCGATCCCTTAATTGATTGTCCAACATGGTCAGCGAAGCCCAGCGCAGTGTATCACGACGGGTTGATGCTATTATCAGGGGGCCTCCCCTTGTAGTCCCCAGCCTCTGGCGGCCCTCTGGGTTTTGCTACACGGAGCTTCCGCTGTGGGCCCCGGAATTACGACTTACAACAACTACCACCACAATGACTATAACAACTGGCAATGGCAACCTATGTGAATAAAGTATATTTGACTGGTTGCCAATCCGAGAAAGGAATCTCGGCTATTGTATAACGACGAAAAACGTCCCTTCTTGGCATTATTTTCATTAAAATGTCAGGGCCCTGATTTGATCTATAAATTTAAGGAAAGTCACCTAGTAGTCCTTGTGTGTAGTAGCATTGGTCGCAGAATGAACTTTATTTCAAAGTCCAATCGTGAGGGGTAGCCTATCACTTCCTCGTTGATTGCTCACCAGGGATAGACCCTACACTCACTCATTCCCATCGCAAAGTACCCAAGTACCACTTGCCCTGTTCGGGCTCTCCCCTCTTCCCCCGCTTCCCCCACCCTGGACCCTAAGACCCCGCTGTCCGGATAATAAACACGCTAACACACAGCGTCGCCCACTTGGTCGTCCTTCTCCCATCGGACTTCTCAACACTTGACTCCCGTCCCTTAACCAACTGGATAATAAGTGCAAATGTCTCCTGTCAACACTGCACCCTTTTGATCGAATATGATTGGCAGATTAACCCCTATCGTCATCGCCATTCTGACGCTAATACCGCAGTCAACTGCCAAATTCCAAGATGACTGCCTCGCTCTCAACCCTCAGTTGACGGTTTCCAACTCAACCGCGAACCTGCTGGCCTACGTGACGTCTGGCAACACCCTCACCTTCCCCGATCAGGATGCTTCCTGCAACCGAGGAAGCCAAGTTGCAAGAGCGAATCTGTGTCGTGTTGCTTTGAACATCTCAACATCGGCCAGATCAGAAGTCGTGGTTGAAGCATGGCTGCCCGAAGACTGGAACGGCCGTATGGTGACCGTGGGTGGCGGGGGTCTTGATGGGTGTAAGTAACGCTGTGGTCGAAACTTGAACGCATCTCTGACTAGATTTAAGGCGTTCACACCGAGGATCTCGCATATGCCACTGCCCATGGCTTAGCCGCTGTGGGTACGAACAACGGACATGTTGGTACTACCGGGGTGCAGTTTCTCAACAACGAAGATGTGGTGATTGATTTTGGATGGCGAGCGTAGGTGACAGGAAACTTAAAACTCAAGTTAGATGCACTAACGAAACTACAGACTTCATGTTGGCGTTGTCGCAGGCAAACAACTTTCGCAATCACTGTACAAACGCGAAGCAACAGGGTCGTACTATTTAGGGTGCTCACTGGGCGGACGTCAAGGCATTCAAGCCGCGGATATGTTTCCTGATGATTTTGATGGCATTGTGGCCGGCGCTCCTGCGGTCGACTTTAACAATCTCTACTCACACAGAGCCAGCTTCTTCCCTCTCACTGGGGCTACCGACTCAAAGGATTTCATCACTCCAACGATTTGGAAGACTGCTATTCACGACGAGGTGCTAAAACAATGTGACAAAATCGATGGCGTGGAAGACGGCATTATAGAAGATCCAACCTTGTGTCATTTCGATCCGGAGGCTCTACTGTGCAACGGCAATTCTGCTGTTGGCAACACTAATTGTCTTACTACTACTCAAGTCGAAATTGTGAGGAAAATATTCAGTCCCACTCATTACGCCAACGGAAGCTTCTTCTCGCCGGGTATGAACCCTGGCAGCGAGCTCAATTCCGCCGATGGTCTTTATAGCGGCAACCCATTCGCCTTCTCTCAAAACTGGTTCAGATATGCTGTTTATAACAATCCAGCATGGGACCCGGCGACCTACACGCTCGAAAAGGATGGCGTCTTTGCTGAACAGCGGAATCCCGGCAACATCAGAACGTACCCCAAAGACTTGTCAGCGTTCAAGAACAAGGGCGGGAAACTCTTGATATACCATGGTCTACAGGATAACCAGATTTCAAGCTTCCGGACGCCTATCTTTTACGATCGCTTGGCTCAGGGTATGGGTCTGCAGAACCCCGAGATGGACCAGTTTGTGCGCTATTTCCAGATATCGGGTATGATGCACTGCACAACAGGCCCTGGAGCATGGATCATTGGCCAGGGAGGCGGTGCTGCTGCTGTTGCGGACAACCTCCCTTTCGACAAAGAGCACAATGTCCTTGCCGCTGTTGTGGACTGGGCCGAGAATGGAGTTGCCCCTGAAACCGTGACAGGGACAAAGTTTGTTAATGACACTGTTAGCCTGGGCATAGATTTTCAACGTCGGCATTGCAGATACCCTTTGCGAAATGTATATCAAGGCAATGGTTTAGACCATAGGAAGGTAGAAAGTTGGAGCTGCAAAGCTTCGTGCTGAGTGTTCAAAACCTAATACACTGTTATCTTGAAGTTCTTCAATTCTGTATCCTGAAGTAGTTTTATAAGGTATGTCTTGAACAACCCCTCTAAACATCTTTAAACGGTGATGTAAGTGACACAAATCATACCACAAAAGCTCGGCCAGCTTTTCCGCGGTTATGCTCAGTAACCTACAATATACAAGACTGACTCGGAGCATCATGCCTCATACAGGTTCAAGCACATAGGTATTTGCCAGTACTAACCTCAACTCGCCGTTGGTCGACATGTCAGTCATGTGACGAAAGAGAAAACTTGGCATCCTCTGATTAAAGATGTAACGTTCGCCCGAGCTTACTGCACTCTTTTTAAAGTTGTTCGAGTAGCTGCATCATGGTTGGCGGATGCCTGCACAGCCCTGTAGATGCAGCGCGCGTGGCGTTCCTGAATTGGATGTGGAAGCTGATCCTGGTGTGAAACTTCAACAGAGATTGGACAAGCGAATACCTTTCTTTCAGCTGCGTCGCAACCCATACCAAAAAGAAAAGGGAGGAAACAAGCAACATACGAGGTAATTGGCAAATACAACTGAGTGGTGGCTGCCAGCCACCTTAGATTCTTCCTCCATAAAACCGATAATTTCCACTGTCGTCCAACTGTGGCGTTTCCCACTTGTCTCTCTTCATTTTCGCGTTTGGCCCTGCGAAAAGAACTGGGTTTACAATGAGGGCCCTTCACCAGGTCATCATACTAGCCTCCCTCGCCCAAGTCGCGTTTGGAAAATGTTACACGCCCAATGGGGTGGACCGTAACTCGGAGTTTCTGAATAGCGACAAGAATAGCTATGCACCTTGCTCGGGCCCGTCCCACAGCATGTGCTTTAGGCTTACAAATGACACTGATCTGGATGTTTGTCGAGGTTACGGTCTTTGTTGGAACACGGCCGAGAGAAAGCTTTGGCGAGAGAGTTGTACCGATCCCACGTGGCAGCATCCAAACTGCCTCAAGCTGTGTATTGACCCAATACCAGGTAAGCAATCACCCAATGCCATTTCAAAAGCTTACTTTGGCGCTACCTCAATGGGACAAAATGATAACACATGTCGTTTGGTTTGTAGGGTCCGTCGACACTCTGGGACGCCAGTTTCTGATGAGCGAGAACGATGTGGAAATCACCCAGTGCGCTGACATGAGCTATTGCTGCGGCGCAGACGCTGAAGCGGCGGCATGTTGCAGAGAAGGCAGAGGAGCGCGAATTGTAGGAGGTCAGGTGGTGAACGATTCGGCGGCGTCGGCATCTGCGTCTCTATCACGTAGCACCTCCCTATTACCTGATCCGACAGTAGTTGCGCCTACAGCTACAAACGAGGCAAATGCCAGTCCCAAAATTATTGGAGGTATCGCTGGTGGTGCTCTTGGTGGTGTGATTATTGCTCTGGGACTGGTTGGATGAATTCTACACTATCGAAGGAGGTCAAGCTCTATTGCAGATTCTACAGACGCGAGCATAGGGGCTGATACTTAGGCTGACCGCGATTCCTGCAAGATCCATAGACTTAAGAGCAGGAAGGCGACTGATGCTGTGGTTGCATGAGTGACCATGAGGTAGGCAACTGGAGGATTAGATCTACGATATGGTGAAGGAAATCAGGGAGCGCTATTTGATGGGCAGATCAGGACCTACGTTTCGGTTTTGTGGAAACTTGTTCTATATGGAAAAGTTGGGACGACTAGCTCTAGTCCGTCTCGGGTCATTTTCCTGGTAGATTGTCGTTTACAAGCCGTGTGAAAACAAACTTTCGTGGGTATACGATGAAGTTCGTATGCATGTCTAAGTACGACGTATCTTTAAGCCTGCCTATGGATTTTAGGCCTAAATAACTGATTGAGTGATATTAACTATTTCACAGATGGCTTTCGCAATTATCAAAAAGATGATGAAAAGGTCGAAATTTTATCGCGCTCAACTCCACTATCTCTCCGTGTTATTTGCGCCCTGCAACATATTTCATGATGGACACGCTGAAAGCCTCACTAGTATCTCGTCTTGCTCTGGTTACCGGCGCATTCGGTGGCTTCTGATCGTGAAAAACCTTGGGCGATTTTGCTTTAGGCTTGCTTGAAGGTACAGGCTGGGCCCTGGCCGGTGGTTGCTTGTTAGATTCTTTGGGTCGACTTTCATAATGGCCTATACAATGAAATAGGTTAATATTCATATTTAGCAGGGGAAAAAAAAGAATGATTACCTTGAACCTTGCCGGCTGAAACTGGACCATTGCCTTGTTTACCATTTCTGCTTCTCTCGATATTATTACTGGAGGCCTTAGGTACTGCTGTTGCTCTGTGACTCTCAGATCCCTGTCTATCACGAGTCGATGGGCCAGGGTCGACGTTGATCACTTGCGGAGCCACCTCATCTCTAATTCCTTGGCCTTTGATTTCTCCCCCACTGTCTTCAGGCTTACTATCAGGCTTTGCTGAAGAATTATGCGTGGGGGCAGGTTGTTCGCCGAATGGCTGTGAACTTTGTGTATTGGGCTGCGGGACATTGGACCGTGGGACGTTTGACTGCGGGTGGAATGTATGATTCGATGATGAATTCTGAAAGTTCGGTATGTAGGTTGGTGGGATGGGTGGTCCACTGAAATTTGGCGCTGAAGTCGAACCTCCTGGTTGTGAATCTCCTGGCTGTCCGTTGAAGGACGGAGGGATGGGAGGTTTACTGAAATCAGGTCCGGGAGGAACACTGCGTAGACCTTCATAAGGCTGTACTTTTGGCCTGACGTACGAAGAGTGTGTTCGAGGGGGAATAGGTCTGGGCGAGGATGGTGGTGATGAGAAAGGCGAAATGGTTGAACGAGACGACTTGGGAAGCGACTGGCCTTTCCGCCGCTTACGAAGACAATACCAGCCAACGACCAAAATACCAATCAAAGTCGCGGATGTTGCTCCTATTATTGCTCCAATTTGGCCATTGCTCACTCCGCCGGTCGATCTGGCAGGAGGAGTAGCCGGGAAGTCACCGTGAAGTGTCGCCGTTGCAACCCAAGTGCTGGATGGGCGTGGAAGGGTTTGAGTAATAGTTATACGAGTGTTTTCATCCTGCCTTTTGACCAATCGTAGAGAGCTGACGACTCCAGTTGGAGTGCTTCTTGACGGGTGAGCCCATGGGCTTGTGGTAGGCCCAATGGCGGGGTTCGTGGTGTTGAGGCCCATAGCAGGCTGAGACCTTGAATCACTGATTCCGTCATCGGCGAAAGAAACCAATACGATTCAATTCCTCGCCCATTTTTCTATACCTGAGATAGCGTCTTTGAAAATGGCATAACTACAGTGTATGAGCGATGTACGAAAGTCGTTTGAACAAGGTCAAATCTCAAAGGCTGTAGAACATAAGGCCAAGTTCTCAGTGGAATACAGGCTAGTTACCTGTCATCTTTCATCTAAGAATGTGGACATCACCTCTACCCGCCCATTTGAGGTACTGAGTAGAATTCAAATCAGGCTGTGATGGATAACCCTGCCAAAATGAGGGTACCGTCTAGCAGTAAGACAGTGTAACATTCCGACGCTATACTGGCTGGCCTGCCAGTCGGCAGTTGTTCCTATTGAAGAATAGAGGCTAAGCCGGCGTAGCCGAGAGGACCAGTGAGGTTTGATTGAAATCATCCAGTTCTCCTCATTCTGTGGTCTTCAACTCATGAGTGCAGGTGTTGTCAATTCCTTCTTATCGACATCAAGCTGTGTGACCAATAGCATACTCCTCTTTCTCGGACATCTTGCTTCTTCCGAACAAGTATGTGTTCTTGTGCATTGCCAAATGCATGGTAATTCTGTTCGATAAATGCAGGTGCCATTCACGTACATAAGCGAAGGTCAAACCCTGCCCGGCGGCTCTCTCTGCAGCTTGCAACGTGCCAAAGTTGTAAAACTTGAAATCATTAGTATAGGTACCATAGACATCCGTGGCTCAGTATGAAAGATGTATAATGGTCTTTCAGATTGCATTTGTTATATATAAAGAATTGACTGATGTTTTGGGGGTTCATCTCTGATTTGATCATCCAGCCTAAGATAAGGGTGAGCGGATTCACTTGTGCTGTGCATGCAGATAATGTGACGTTTACTAATGTGGCAATGCCCCAGGCGGCTATGCCATGCATATGCTGACTCCCAGGACACATTTCAGATGACAGAGAGCCCCGCGGCAAAGCACGATAGCCTGATTTTAAGAAGAGGAACCTGATCGTGTTGTTTTGCTCTCTGCCTACAAGCATCGCTTTAGAAAATCTCCATTTCGCGGCTAATTGAATACTTCAATCATCGAACTGCTTCTCATTGAGGCATAATCTTAAGTCCGACGGACCTGAGGACGTCTAAACTGGAGCCATGTCGGGCGGGAATAATTACGCTTTGGGATACCAAGCACAACTTCATCATGGCCGATCTCTAAGTTTTAACGGCGTACGACCGGTAAACAGCGGGTTGTTCCATGATGGGACACACGATCAACACCGAAACAGCTTGGATGTTCCGGTTTTGTCACAGCAAAGACGAAGTGTGGATGCTGGGCTGCAGAACGCCGGCCGAAATGGCTTGCCACGGATATCCCCAAATGGATTCTACGCAGGAGGAAACTTGGTTAATCATGATGGAACTGCCTATCAACCCATCATTGGGACGAATCAAGGTACTGGGGGATTTGACCAGGCCAACACAGTTCGCCCCGCGTCTGGGTTGCAGAACACGCAAAATATGACCGTTGAAAATTGGGGAAACTTCAGCCGGCAGGACTTCAGACGGGTTATTTCTGCGGCTTTTGAAATGTATAACCCAATGAGGAACCCAAACAGATCGACAATTCTTCAATCAGCGAGAATGCTGCTATCAGCTCTTACTCGGGAACACATCAGGGACCTTCCTCGAACAGATCTAGATATAATTTGTGCAAAGGAGCATTTAGGGGCTTGTTACTTTCTACTAGGCGAGTATTCCGAGTCGGAAAGATTCCGTCGAGAAATTTTACAAGCAAGAGAAAACGCAAGGCCGCCAGACCTGGAGCGTGTTTTAGCAGCCCGGCAAAACCTCGTCGCGTCTTTGTTAGAAGTTGCCAATGAGAGGGCTAAAACAGATGCGCAAAGTGCATACACGAAAAACTACGAAGCACTGAACCTTGCTGTCAAGAATGCTTGCACAAGACGCGACCAAGATCGAGGGATCGACGAGGATTTTGCGGATGTGCTCCAATGCTGCAATAGACTTCTCAAGAATACCTCTATATCTTTTCATGAGAAATCTAATCTTCTTACTCTTCGGATACGCGCACTACTCAAAGGCAACGATGAACAAAAAGTCAAAGAATTACGGTACGAAGTCTTTGAAGATCTTACAAACACACGATTGGACCTAGCTGGTCTTTACGGACTCAACCTCAACAAACATAGGGAGGCAAATGCAACGTACAACTGCATTGAACCTAGCATTCAGATATACCGGTCTTCTATGCAACAAGGAGACTTATATTCGCAACAGCGTATTGCAAATCTCGACAACACTGTCAAGCTCCGTTGGAAGATGATGCTGCAGCAGAAAAGAGAAGATATACGCAAGGCCCAAGAACAACAAGAAAGGCAGAATCGACTCTCAAATGCCGCCTTGGGACAAGATATACGTAGGCCAGAGACGAGCATGTCCATATCATCCAGTGAGTGTGTCCACAGCTTTGTTTTATGAAGCGTTTGAGTCGGCGTTATGCTCATGGAACTTCGATCATCAGACATCACCATGATCTCAAGATCGACATCCATTCTATTGGATGTGAATTTACCATCAAATGATGTTAGGTAAGTTGAATCATTTGATAATTGCCTCCCAAGCTTCTTAATGAGCGTCAATTAATTTTGCATAAAGTGCTATTCAGGGAAGCAAAAAACGAATGTACGAATTTATTCAATTTCGCAAATCGATTCTTGCCGGTCGGTATGATCCTAACATGCAGCCAATCCGCCTTACCGTCATTGATACGGGGCTCGATGACACCCATCCTTTCATCTCGAATAGTGGTTGGAAGCGCAATAGAGATTCCGATAGAAAGGCATTGTTCAAAGATTTTGAGGGTGACAGCGTAACGCCTGTTGACGAGGATGGGCATGGAACATTTATTGCTGGTATAGTGCTTCAGATTGCTCCTGAAGTAGAACTATCTGTGGCACGGATTTGTAAAAATCATTCATCCATCAAAACGGATCAAGCTGTCGAAGAGAAGATTGCTAGGGTATGTCATGGAGGCACAAGATACGAGAAAGTTGCCCAGTTGATTGAATATATGGCTAATCATACTTTATTAGGCAATCGTGTATGCCGTTGACGTGTGGCAGACAAATATAATCTCTCTCTCACTCGGGTTTGAACGACCATCGTCGGGAAACCTACAAGCTGCCATCTCAAAGGTGCAACAAAACCACAACGTCATACTTCTTTGTGCGACCGGCAACTCCGGGAATGAGATCGTGGGGCCATTGTTCCCTGCTAAATCACATGGAATTTTTAAGATTTTCGCGACTGACCATTCTGGGGTCATCTCCAATATCAGTACAGCCAAAACGTCTGACTCCGACTTCTGCTTCAGTGTTCTTGGGTGCAACATTGAATCAACCTGGCCTTCAGCGCCAGAATTAAGGGAGAGAGCGGAGCGTAATGGGTTCAAAGTAACCGAGAGAATGAGAAAGGGTACCACTGCTGGGTTATGGACTGTGATGTCTGGCACTTCGTTTGCAACTCCAGTAGCTGCATCACTCGTTGCCATTTTGTTTCAGTTCTACGATGAGAACGCGCACAAGGTGCGTTTACGACAAGGTGTTTTTTTCAAAACAGTGGAGGTGCTTAAACGTGTTTTGTTGTCCATGAGCAATGCGGGACGCGATGGATACAATCATTTGGTTCCAACCAAGGGCAGGGGGGATGACTTCAACTTCATTAATGCGCTTCCGGGAGAGACACGAACGAATTTCTTTGCAAGGAGATTAACCGAAGTTGTTTGGAGGATATAGATTGACAGCAAACTCTTTAGGCCCAGACCTACGTTAGATTGACGCTGAATGAACACAACTCACTGTCTTCTGTTGAGCTTTCAAATTAATAAGAAAGCAGATACTAACAATGCTACGAATAGGCTCAGGGCATTGGTTGAATTTCGTGAGCCAGATTCTACACTGCTAGTATACCCAAACAGTTTTGCCCGTCATCGTCAACGATGCTTATCTTGATGTCCGTTGCAGGAAGTGAAGACCCAAAATCAGCCTCCTCAGTGAACACTTCATCAATATCATCCATTTGTAGGAATGTCTCTTCCATCTCATCGTCGCTAGTATCATCTTCCGAAGTGCTGAGGTCGCTTAGGTAGCCATCTCCGTGTAGTTCACCGCCGTGAAGATCGTTTCCGAGGGTGATTTTGTCGCGTAAGCTGATGTGGATCTTCCGCAGTCTGTAGGCGAAAACGAAGTCTTTAGAGGGAGTGTTACTCTCCGAGACAGCTTTGGATCGGTCAAGCCCTCCTTGTGCCCCGACCGACACGAGCCCGCCTGTTCCTGGGTCCCCCCCAACCTTTGCAGACGCACCCGTAGTTTTGGAAATCGTAGATGAAGTTTCCTCGGGCTGCCTGGCTATTTTCACTCCAGTCACCATGTAGAGTACTCTCTTCCGAAACTTATCGCGCTTTAACCATTTCTGCACGATAGCTTCGTTGACGCTGTCTATTACATAAGGTGATTCTGTGTCCTCTCCGAGCTCCAAGAACACTGTCTCTAGTGCAGCAGCTTTCCATGAGTTCATGAGCTCGTGCGAAGCATGGGCTGAAGTCTCAGCGGTAGCCACGGCAAGAAATTGGGCGAAAACCCCAACTTGTCCGGCTGAACCCTTGGAAGTCTCGAAAGACCAATCATCCTTATACGCATGATGTAGGAGATCTTTCGGGATAGGCTTGAAAGGAGGGGCGACTCGGCGGTAAGGGATGCGTGGATCTGCGATGAGCTGGCCGAGTTGAATCAGGCGGTCCGGCTCGTGATCGGTGTTTCGCAGAATAAAATAAGTTCTTGGCTCGTCCATTCTAAGGTATAATGTTTATCACGGTTTGTAGTCTTGAATCTGAATTTGGGGGAAGGGACAAGCTCATTCAAATGCTCTTCTGTGCTTGACAAGCATGGCCGTGTAAGCCTTTTTTTCTTCACTGTGCACATGATAATAATACAAGCCAAATGATGACAGTAGTGGAGTACCAGCTGCAGGTCAGATTAATCCCAGTGCCAATGCAAAATGCATAGAAGCGATATGTGATTGGCGGCTTGGTCTCATGAGGGTTCCATTCGCAGCCTACTTCGAGCACCTCTACAGGACTCTTCATAATCCTCTTAAGCACATCACATATGTGGTGTTAGAAAGAGGCTATCTAACGGATTGGAAGGGCTTTAACTCATGTTGAATGCATGCCTCAATCTATGCAATGATCACAACCCGTCTTACAATCAGCTGAGGTCCAAAAGTGGAACTCACACCTGCGGTCTAAAGACTGAATCACAGTAGTTGCGCCTTAAATCTGACAATGACCATGAAAATATAGTGACCAGACAACCTGATAGTCGAGCTCCCCCCTCTTGAGCTGATAGAACCGTGCATACTTGGTCTTGCGCACCTGAGGTGACCGTGAAGTTCGAAAAAAGTACGATCTAGCCTATGATCACTCTTAAAGGCTTTTCAAAACATAGCTTAGAGAATTTGGTTAAATTCTAGAGATAAGTAAGATTAGTGTAAGTAGGGTGAGGAGTGGCAACGGCGACAGGCGGGCTTGAAGGGTTAGATTAGGGAATATATCCTCGAAATTTCGAGCTCCTCAGGGTTAGGGTAAGGTATTTACTTTCGTAAGAAAACGTAACTAGCTAAAAACTTCTCCAGGTCCACTATCACCTCAAATGTACACAGACCAAGTGTGCACGGTTCTATCAGCTCCACAGAGGGGACCTCGACTATGAGGTTGTCTGACCACTCTGTTATTTGCCAACGATAGCTCTATCAGCAAAAAGAAAAGAAAAAAGGAAAACAAAAGTCATAAAATGTGACACACATCACATAAGTAAGATATAGTATATACGTATATTAAAGGCGTTTAAATTGACTATCTGCCAGCACTTGAAGGAAACCATATCTCACGGTTAGGTAGCCATGACCATGGCCTTGTTGAGTAGTTTTCAAATTTTGATCTAGTGATCCCTGATCGCCACGCTAGAGGCCCTTGCTATAACCGTATCAGAGTGGGTCTTGAGATCGAATACGTGTATAAGGCTACAAGGCCACATTCCAATCGGACCGTGCCGCGGGCGCATTGCGTAACACAAGCCCTAGTGCTACCCCCCGACTGTGAAGACTACAGGTATTAATCTAGTCTAGCAGGTTGGTGAGTACAGTTCCGCGGGTTTCGTTTTTCTAGGTTCTATGGTTACCACATCCGCTTCATCCAATCTCCCTCCAGAGCCCGACGTACCTTAATCAGATGTCACCACCGCAATCCGCCAGGCTCCCAGCCCGGCGATCTCACCGGAAATCTAGGAACGGTTGCAGCGGGTGTAAGAAGCGCCACATCAAGTGCGATGAGACCCGTCCAGAGTGCCGAAACTGTGTCATGTCAGAGCGAGCTTGCTCTTATCTGAAGTCTGACCTCGATCATAACGACTCATCATCCAGTGTAGCCAATGGCGTCTCTGCCCACAACAATATCGAAACCAGACGCTCACTAGTGGTTCCGAAGGATCCAGCAGACGATCTGTCATGTATTGGAACCACTTTTACCGTAACTCACATGGTCCTACTTCACTATGCTGAGTCCAACATGTCAGAGTATATGGCTCTTTTAGGGGATGTGCGGCCAATCATGGACGTCGCAATGGAGCACGCTCTGACGGCGCCATACCTCCTGGATCAGATTCTTGCGCTGTCTGCGCTTCATATATCGACACAAAATGGAGCAAATGCATCTCTATACCGCCACCAAGCCACTGAGCTACAGACTCGCGCACTTGGGATGTTCAATCAAGCTAAACAACATCTGTCAGATAGCACATATATGCCAACATTCATCTTCGCATCGTTTCTAGGCATACATGTGCTGCACGATACGCTTCAGCAACATCACGGCACGCTAGCCGGGTTTATCGAAAACTTTGTCACTTACTCGCGACTTCATCGCGGCGTGCGAGCTGTCACCCAGAAGTATTGGCCCCAAATTCTTCAGTCTGACTTGAAACCTCTGTTATACGTGGCATCTCTGGCCCGGAAGACTGACACGCAAGCGCCTGGAACGGAGACGAACGAACTAAGGGAGTTTTTCAAGTCGCCTACAACATACTCAGCATACACCGAAACTTGTATTGAAGCACTCAAAGGGGTTCAGTGGGCCCTCGACGTTGCTAAGCAAGATCCTTCCAGAGAGGAGCTCGGTATCCACGCAGTCATGGCCTTGCCGCTTTATGTAACGAATGAGTATATCGAAGCCCTGTATCAGCAACAGCCGGAGGCTGTGGTTGTGTTCGCTTTCTACGCGGCCATGCTGCATCGATATCGGCATTATTGGGCTTTTGGCTGTTGTGGGTCTTCTCTGGTTCATTCAATATCGCGTAGTGTAGGCCCATTCTGGCAGGATATGCTAGCCTGGCCTTTGCAAGTCCTGAATGAAAGTTGATTGAGCTACATTATCGGTAATGGGTATGCTTTGTGCAAGCAACCTATTCACCCCTGAAGGTATTCGCTATATGATTGCGAATGTTGATGAATATGCGAATTGGAGATACGGTAAGAGCCGTTCATTCCTCCAGTCAAGCACTTATTAGAGATCGATAGTCGAATGAACTTGCATAGTGCAAGAGCATACAGCATCACGGCCTCTCTGCGCTAATTGCGTCCTACAAGTTGTCGCCATCCCATCTTTCCGAACCAGGGAGAAAACCATTCCCAAACAAGATAAATATACCTGTTTTCAAACCCTTGATTATTAACACCTAGTCAAGTAGCGCCCAAAAGCTCACAGATATCATCATGCAAACGGCAGCTGATGCCCATGGTCAGTCTACCGAGTCACAATTCGCCAGTATTCCAATTACACTTCCATCTATGACTTCCCACTTCTGAAGGAGTGTACAAGATTGAACCAGGGTGGCATTCATCTCTGATCTCGAGACAGCGATTATAGTTCCCGTCGTAAAAGTCTTTCTGAAACTTGCTGTTGAAGGGGCTGACTTCGTTCACGTAAGAGCCTGAGCTCTGCGGCCAATCCCTCCAGATAGCCTCTTTGCTTTCTTGAGGCTGTCAAAACAGGTATGATAGAAAGGCTTTTGGCTTCGAGAATACCAAAGAAACCGGGCGGTGCTTTCCACCTGGAAGCATCTGTGCTTCCACGGGCTCCATAGCCGCCCTTATATCCTCCGCCGCTGTGCTGTGGACAACAAGATGAAAGGTACCCAATACCTTGGGAGGCTTTCTCAAGATAGGCGTTGGCAGATGAAAAGTCCAGCAATACCAATATCTATCATGTCTGGAAGGCAGGTTACAAGTGTCGCAAAGGCATCCCGAGATGATGAAACCACCGCTATATTCCATGCAGATAGTTGACTGGGCAGCGTCTTTCGGTACTCGCCTATGCACGCAGGACGTGTTCCGTAACGGCTTCGTACAAATTTCACTCGCCACTCCAGACGGCCCATTGCAAATCCTGATTCTGAGCTTTGTTTGCAATGAGAACCTCACCGGTTAGAGTGACAACCGTAGACTAGTGCAGCTTACTTCGGGTATCTATCTAGGAGTCGTCATGATCTCCTGAAGCACGTCAAATACGCATCTGAGTGAAACCCAGGAATGTTGAGGTAGGGTACAGGCTTAACAAGAAGGTTTAGTCACAGATTACACAGGTTGGGTCATGGTATCAAAGAAAGAGGTGTAGGAATGGTTGAATTATCTATTATTATTAGAAGCCACGGAAACTTTCTGAAATATTATGCTTCCTTCCAATGATTTCGTCTACAAATAGACGTAGCAGAAGGGAGAACCATCGATGGTGTTCAAAAGCTCCTTGATAGGTCGGTCCTGTGCAAGGACGCCCAGTTCAACCAGATCCTCCTTGGTAGCGTCACGGCTAGGAGGCAGGTTCTGAATGGTAATGGTGCCGGCAATCTCAAAGGCTTCCCACAAGTGCAAAGCTTGCCAGAGCCAGTAGACGCGATCGACCATGGCGTGGTGGAGGAAGAAAGTGGGATCCGTGGGCGAGGAGTACAAGTCGCTAGCATCTCCGTTGGCAACAAAGTGACCGGCGGCATGCATACCCAGGAATCCGTCACCAAAGCGACCCTGAAGCTCGTTCTGGAAAGTCGCAATGTTCTTGGAGGCTTGACCGATGGTGACGTTCACGAGGTTGGCGGTCGTGAGCCAAGTAGAGGCTGAGTATGCGCTCAGGTCACGGCGCAAGCAACGAGGGTTATGCGCCATCGGGCCGTTGGGGTTGACTGGAAGACCGTCCATGCCAGGAGACACAGGGCCGAGGTTAACAGTCATGCTATCATCCTGTTAGACTGCTTTCCATGATCAATGTTAAGTGAAGTTTCTTACTTGACGAGGGGGCCGCTCATGACACAGCCACCACCGAGGCCGGAAGGAACCTCAATGTTGCCGTTGGGAGCACGGCTTACGCTGCCATTGTGAGGGAAGTATTCGCCATCGCCACTCAAGCTGGTCTCGCTGCCATCGTAGACGGGAGATTTGCGCAGGTCATCAGTGTGTGCGAACCAGTTCCAATACTATGAATGTCAGGTAAACGATAATCAACACTGTAATGGGGTTTGGTCGACTTACAGGCTGAGCTCCCTTATAACCACACTCAGTCTTCAAAGCGTTCTCATATGCCCAGGTGAAATATCTATGCCAGGTCAAGAAGTTACCCTATACCAATCAGTAACCGAAAATGGGTAGATTCAAGCAAGTTGGCAACTTACGGTACCGTGAATGGTACGAGTCTGGTTGATATGAACGGCAACAAAGTCGTCATATCTGTTGCGGGCGCCGGGCGCGAAGGAAGGGTCGGACTTGGAGGGAGAAGTCAACAGGCATTGCACTGCACTGATGTATTCCTTGCGCTCCTTTGTGGAAAAAGCAGCCCTGAAAGAAGAGAACGGCACATCAGTTTCCAATACCAAGTAGTCTATACTGAATTGACTCCCAAGAGAAGTCTCCAAATTGGCTTACCAGTCCCTGCGCACCTGTGCATTGAACAGGTTGCAGTTCCCTCGCTTGGACAAAGTCCCATTGGCTTCTGCAGCCTTCAGGTTCTCCATAGCCTGAGCTTGGAGGTCTGCGAGAACATCCCCAGCATCGCGAGCCTCTAGCGGCGTGTCGAAAGGAGCGGCAGCAGTGACAGCCGATAGGCCGAGAACGGCCATGAGCTTGACGGCGTGCATTGTATTCGGTGGTTTTAATGGTTCAAATTTGATGAGAGGGGCTCCAAATGCACCAGACACGGCCGCGAAGGAATGAAGGGAAAAGATCTGCAGAGCGATGGCGTAAGGAAGGTGGGTGGGAAAAAGGAAGGCAAAAACGTGGTAATGGAGTATCTAGAAGGTCCTCTATATACCGTGAGAAGACATTGCGCGAAAGTGCCCCTTTCATCACTGCCGACTTAATTTCAATAATTGATTTTGGTATCTAGCTTGGCGGACGAATTCATCGCCACATTTTGGCCACATTCGAACATTTACTCAGTTGTTGGTCAACTTCATGCAGATGGGAGATGTTAGGGGGCCTTGTACAGAGTAGGGACTTGAACTTCTCGGCCTCTCGGTGGTGGCATCCTAGATAGGATAGTCGGTCTTGTCTAGGATCCCTGATCCATGGCCGACAACGCGCGCGGTCAACAGTGGAGACCGAAGGACAAGATCCGATCGAACGACTGCTGGACGGATGAGACTTCTATGGAGACAAAGGGGAGCATCCGATGGGCTTCGGCGACTTGGTGTCCAAAGCGTTCTCTCTTGACAGAACTCTGTTGTCAACCAAAGTTTCTTGCTTTCAGCCCTACATCTGGAGCATACAGCAACCTTATGTCTAACTTTAAACCAAAGTTCTATGAAAAGCAAAAAAAAAACCTCCGCAAACTTGCTCACCACGGCACTTCAACCATGTTAAATCCCGAGCCGATTCTCCGAATTGTGTGTGCTGCAAGTGAAAGTGCCGTGGGCCCTCCTCTTCCATGTGTCCCCTCGTGTAAGCAACAGAGGTGTGGTGTCTTTTCGCCGCTTACTACGGCGCAGCACATAGGATGTCATGCAGGTCCACGCCAGAAAAACGCCACCAGGACGGAAATTTAGAGAGGGGGGGGAGCGAAAACGACAAAGCTAGGCCAGCATCCCGTTCAAAATGTGACTATGTGTTGGTTCCATCACGCCAAGCCATGCGGGCTCCGCCACCTTCCAACCAAAATCTACTAGTGCCAACGGGGAGCATGGGGTTTGAGCTACGCCGGCCCGCATCACACCACTTCAACATGGGATTATGCAGAAGAACCTTGTTGTAGTCGGATGCGGCTGCTCGGTGTTGAAGAACACCGACGAATCTCTTTGCTTTTCTTTATGAGCCACCCTGGCCTCACTATGTTTCCCCACTGTTGACATTTGGTGATTCAAGGTTCATTATCCGCAGGACACATGCTAGCATGCAAGTTTCGCAAGAACTGACAGGCAAGGGAAGGGATCGTAGTAGCCCTGCTCAACTTACCTGGTGGAGACAGTATCAAGTGGAGAGGGCCTGGGGCTTCGGGGACGGCTGGAGATTGCATGTCGTTTTCTTGGGGGCCGAAAGGCCGAAGTGATCCTTTTCAAACCATTCAACACGATAGGCTCGGAAGAACAGGTCCACGTAAATCAAATCTGTTCATGCCTGTGATTGACATGGATCGGCCTTGATGACCTATCCAGGCTGGCTGTTAGTGCTGCCGTTGAGATACTGCAGCAAAGAAGGCAAAGTTGGATCCTGAAAGGAGTAACCTGCTTCACTTTCTTCGCTGCGCTCAAGATTGCTACTGTTACTGCTACGACAATTATGTCAATAATTTAATTTTGCCTTGGAAGCTAGGTCATCTACTTTAGGAGCTTTGCATACACATAGGAGTATTCAGGTTAGAAACCCTGATGCCAAGAGAAGAAAAAAAAAGAAATGTGACGCATTGAAGGCACCCCAAAATCCACCCTTCTTCATCTTCTTGTCCTATCACTTTGCAGAACACCTCCGCTACCACCCCTTAGGACATATGCTCTGCCTAATGCAAGGGGAGAAACCTCCGATAGCAGTTGATGACTAGAAGACGCACCTCCGTTCTACGCCGCAGGCTTGCTGCTCGCTAATGATGTTCTTGGATCACTTCCTTCGGAGATCACATTCTCAATGAAGCCGAACACACCACATCGATGTCCCTCAACTTGCCACGCTGATGGGAGGTCTCTATGAAGTCTCTTTCCTGAAACTTCTTTGCCTGCAGGCAAATTTTGTGACAGCACGCATTTGCGTTGCATCCTGCGGAGAACTCGGAGTCGGTCTCTCTCACCAGTTGGTTTTAGAATTGACCAGTGTTGGTCGGCTTCCTTCCCGCTGGCTGCATACAGCATGGCATGCCCCATATTGTTACATATAGTCAGCCCACAACCTCGTTCCGTGCTATCCACGTATGATTTACCTTGATCTTCCTTCATGTTTTTTTAATCGTTGAATGGCTAGCGCAGATGCGCGTACGTCTAGTGTAAAATGTCTTCGAGCCAGCCACCCGGTGCACCAACACCACCGATCGATCCCGAGTGGGCCGCAGAGAGCAACACCGCCATGATTGTTGGTGTTACGGGGGGATTCCACGCTCTAGCCTTGCTTTTCGTTGCTCTGCGAGTCTACACTCGCATGGCCATAGTCAAGGTCATGGGAAGAGATGACTATGTCATGGTAGTTGCTATGGTGAGTGATAGACTTGTATCTGTCTGAGACTTCGAAACTAAGATAGGCCAGCTCTGTGCAGTGGCGGGCATGACGATATTTTCAGTACAGGCGTTCCATGGGCTTGGAAGGCATACAATCGTCATTCCTGAAGATGACATGATTATTATGCGAAAGTCGAGCTTTTTCCAGTCCATCATTTCCTCCATCGCGGGCTTGGCTCTGCTGAAGGTCTCGATCGGCCTATTTTTGTTACGACTCAGTCGCAGTACTTGGTACTCTCGATGCTTATGGGGATTGATTGGTATGTCTCAAGTTTGCGGAAAAGATATGCGGTAACTGACATTGTAATGTACAGTTTTCGTATCAGCTTACAGCATCATGGCTTGGATGACCTTTTTCTTCTATTGCCAGCCATTAGAAGGATACTGGGACAAGAGTATCAAACCCAAGTGCTACCCGATTACTCTTTTCATCAATTTCGCCCTTATGAACACAGCTTTCAACATATTCACCGATGTCTGCTTTGCGACTCTACCCGTAACCATCATCTGGACTCTCCAGATGAAACTTCGAACCCGAATTTACTTGATCATTGTATTGAGTCTCGGCTACTTGTAATAAAATCCCTCCCCATGACAGCTGCGCATTTATGGAGTTCGCTAACGACCGAAAAGTGCCGTTGCTATGGGCGTCATCAAATCAATCTACCAGATTGCCTACGGGAAAGATATGGATAAGACTTTGTAAGAGAACTAGTCCCGGCGATGCATGATGTGAATTTCTAACGGTAGAATAGCCACCAAAGTATTCAATTTTGGGAGTTGTAAGTCCTCATCTCCAGTCATCATACCTACTAGTTTAAATCTGACTTCTTCAGCCTCCAGCTTAACCTCGGAATCATCGCCGCATGCGCCCCATCCCTCAAGCCTCTCGTCGGCCACGCCCTCAAAATATCATCCAGCGACCGATACCATGGTGAGCTATACGAAAACCGGAGGCCGACTGGAACAAACACATCGATGCGTCGTCGAGGGTACAGGGTACAGGACAGCCAGCGAGACTATGAGATGCATGATCGTCCGTTTGCTGGGTCTCCAGATGCACACCATGCCGGTGTTGGAAACAGTACTCACAGCGCAGTCTACGACAAAGGTGGTACTAGTGTCTCTCGATCCGATAGTGAGGAGATGATTCTTAGGGACGATAAAGGCCAGGGAATCATGCGGACAACAGAAATCTCGATTCAACGATAAGCAGGGCGGTTTTAGTTATCTGGCCAGAGGCTACTTTCCAAATACGAGAACTTCTTATGTTTAGCAACACCGCGTCCCTTACCTTTCTGGGAGTTTGCCCACCTCGCTAGTGATTGACTCAAAATTTACCAGGTCACTCGACGCGCCGCCTTCAGGTCGGGCGACTGGGGAAATTTTTTGATTGTATAGGGGTTGTCGCGAAGTGAAAGAAAGCATATCTGCGATGCTGGAGTTATAGTACGTACACACTATGCTCTGCGGCCACATAGTCCACATACCTACTTAGCGAGATACCAATGTTGAGAGCCTGTTGCTCATTTTCCTTCTACGTTTTTACCATATACACCAAACTCTTAGTTCACAACTCCGCCGAACAGGCTCCTTCTCCATACCCGCAGCCTGAAAAGCACTGTGGGGGCACATGAGCACCGTTTGATTCCTCCCGTCATCCATTCGCAATAAGGCTTCGCTGTCGAAGAACTTAATCAGGTAGACTTCCTCCGGCGTCTGTTCACTGAGGTAGCGCCAAGGATGTCCTCGGCCTCCTTCAATATTGGTGCTTTCGTATCCAGAATCTCTTCTCGCCTGCGGAGGCCGAAGCATGGCGTTTTGACTATAGTAAAACGGCACACAGCCAGGACGATCGCGATATGTCCTGGTTAGCGGAGCGTAATCTACCTTTTGCGACTGCGGGAGGCTCATATCCATAACGGCTAAAGGATCTCGACGTACAGTCTCCCACGCACGCCAGACACTGAAGATGGCGTAACGTGGTCCGTTGTAATTCGCACCATCCCAATCCCAGTGACCACCGCTTGGCAGGATATCATCTCCCTCCACTTCCGGGTCAAGTCCAGCTTCTGCAATCGCTCGATCCTCGGCGTCAATAATCTCTCGGCGCAGCTGAAGAAAGTCTTCTCGCTCGGCCTTCGTAGTGCACCCGTCTGCCGTTCCGTTTTCTGGAAACCAGTGGGATTCTTTCATCGCGCGGAAATGCCCTCGAGCGCCTGCTGGCGTGTAGTCGGAATGTGCAATGCTGAATGGTGCAAGAGACTCAATATTAAACCCGACCTCGGGATTCATGCCAACTGGAGCCCAGCTTGGAATATCGCGAATGGAGTGTTTGCGCACAATCGCGCATCGTACACCGAGCTTTCTTTTCAACAGATCTGTCATGGCGGGATAGTATTCTTGAACCATCGTCTTGTAATCGTGGATCAAGCTTGAAGAGGGAGTAATTGGAAGAGGTTGACGCAAAATCTGGAATCCATTTTTCTCGTGTGTGTAACTTGACAAAGGAGTAGATAAGGAGCGCAGGTCAGCAACTGGCATTTGGTATATCTTGTTGTGTGGAGAAGTCCCCTCGATGATTGCGAGATCGTTAAGAGCGGGAGTCCCCAATCCGTTATAGTAGTTGAAGTGACCTAGTACGTTCATGGTAATGAACAACGGCGTATTTTGAACACAGCAGAATAAGGAGATAAGTTTGTTGTGTTTAGAAAGAGCATAGATGATAGGGAATCAATGAAGCTTAAATACCCACCATACCGGGCAGCTACTCTTGCAACCAAAGCGACCATCGCGATTCATGTCCCATGTGTGCAAGTCCTCGAAGGGGGGGACTGAGTTTAAGGTTAATTTTCCACAATGTGTAATCTCCACCACACAGCTTCTCGCAGCTGCAGGCGTTAATGATCTTGACTCAGTTTTAGCCCACGAAAGACATGTACAACACTGTTGCACTTGCATCTAACTCTACCCTAACCAGGGTTTATTGTTTTACGATCGTTTACTGCTGGGGTGCCAGGCTTTCCACTCCAACCATCAAGAAGCGGGGGGTTTGCATAAGATAGATTAGGCGCTACATGTGATTATCAATATGTTGGAATGTCGGTTTGAGGTCAAATTTGAATGGGACTGGCGGATCAGGTGTAACAACATTAACCCTCACCGTTACCTGTGTCTTGTGGTTGCTGCCGCTTTCTATGTTTTGTATTTGCCCGTAGTTACCTTTACGTATGCGTAGGATAGATAGTTTAATAGAGAAGCGAACCAAAAACCCTCAAAAGACTTAATCTCTTGACCTACGAGAAGTGTATTGTCAACTGTAAAAGGAAAAAAATAACATTAGAAGCTCAAGAGACATATCTTCAATGCGCCCACATATTGCTTTCGTCAATTTGCGTCCGCGCAGTCCAACAAAAACAGAGGAGGACCGCAATGAGTTGACTCAAATAGTATTCAAATCCCTCTGCTGAGATTTGTCTAGGTAGGAAGAACACGTGTTTGAGTGGCAATACTGGGGCAATTAAACAATTAAACATGTTGAACCTCTGTAATAGTCACAACGCTCATGACAGATGCCAGCTTCACAGCCACGGAAGCTTGGAAAATAAACGCTAAGTGATAGTGTCAAGTGATAGCCGCGAAGCTGCACCGTTCCTGGTGGGCTTATCCTACAACTCAACTGTTTCCTCTATGTTACTGCTTTATGCCCCAGCCCGCTGAAGCATGCGCGAAAGTTTGACTGCCCGACTGAACGTTGCTGGCAACAAAATAGAATCTAAATCAGTCAATGAAATAGATTTCAGACCAGCTGGCTCCAGCTTGTATTATTAGAGAACAAAAAGAAGTGTAACTGACTGAGAAATCATAACCCATCATGAGTAAGCGGCGATTTCCCTATTTCACCTCATGAGGGAGGACACATTAACATACACAGCATCATGTCTAAATGTACGTCACCAAGTCCGCCAGAACCTCTTTTCGCCGACGGAAGAATATACTCGCGTGGGTCTCATCTTCCAGTCTTAGACAGGCATGTTCTCCCAACCGCTTCGCAATCTGAACTCCGTGATTCGGAGGTACATGCGTGTCATGCTGTCCATACCACAGCCGCATGGGAAGGTCAGTCCGGATATCCGCAATGTCGAACCCGAACTCTGTTCCACACAAATATCCGTCGTGACTCACACCCTCAATCCCTTGACGATAATACTGCCGACTCGCCATAACCATCCTTGCAACAATCTCCTTGTCCAACCAGAGACCTAGTTCTTGCCTCGGAAAATTCGCCTTGTTCTTTTCCGCCTCTTGCAGACGGAGTTGCAAACGCTGTTCATCTGTCAAGTAAAACTGGCCTTGCTGATGAAAAAACCATCCGGCAAGACGAGGACTATAGCGCCATCCATATGTGAATCCAAGCCATTGGAACCAGGCCGCTCCGCTCATGCCAATATCTGGTGGGCCAATTCCACACACGATGGCCACGGCTTTAAGCTTGTCGCGAGCCATTGTTCGCGCACAAGCAAGGGCGAATGGACCACCTCCCGACACACCCTTTCTCTGAGTTAGCGGAATAACCCTAATAAATCCAGGATCGTTATGCTGTACTTACCATCACCCCGTATTTTTCGATCTTGAGATGATTCGCAAGATGCTCCAGGTCTTTGGGGTGGTCCAAGAGCGTCCTTCCCGGCTGAAAGGTACTCAAGCCCATACCAGGGCGATCTGTTGCAATGATGCGGGCGCCTGCCTCTAGCGCTGCCTCGTGAAGATGGCCCGCTTCAACACGGGAGCCGGGTAGCCCATGGCAGTAGAAGATGGGTTTCCCTGTCGACAAACCGTATTGCGAGTAGCCGAGTTTGCGACCATCTGGCAACGTCAAGACCTCAGTTGTATCTTTCTCCGGGACCAACCAGGGTTCTGAAGTCACATTAATAGGACTGCTGCGGAATAGCAAAGACTTTAGATATGATATTGACATTGTAGCAGGTAGAATTGTGCATGCAGTGCAGCAACACAACGTGGAGTTTTCAACAGGCCATTTGATTGAACTTATAGGCTTTTGTTTTTCTGCAGGATTTATAGTGCTTATGCTTCAGTCCGGGATGTAGCGTAGGTATGCATTAAATCTATCTTGTGTTGACCTTTTGGGGTTAGTCATAAGGAGGCGGGGTATGTCCTACATTCAGCGGTAGACCAGCTCGCGGGAATGCTCGGAGAAGATGGACACGTGAGACAAGCCACGCACCGCCCGGAATGTGAGGATCATTCTGATGATGGAGGACGAGGCATTCATCCTCAATAGGCACTCTTGAAGGCGCATAACCGAGAAGGCCGTTTTCTCACCGAATATTACACCTACCCTACCGCACTATCGCCCATCGGTAGACCACCAACTTACCTCTCTTCCTCCGCTGTATGATTGCATCAGCGTTTTCTGGACCAACCTTCAACAATTTGGAGATGTTGCGTGATAACGTGCCACGGACGTGATACCAAGGAACGAAACGTACTGTAATCTAAGGGTAGGCGTCTGTGGTAAGGCTCATTGGACGTGTGCCTGCTAAATATTGGCCGCTATTAAACCGCGGTGTATAATATCAATTATTGTCTATTTGTTAAATAAAGTAACATAGACTTCGACCTATCCTACTACCACTGCCTTCGGTCCTTCAATTGTCATCACTGTCGGCGTTGATCTCGTCATCGTCATCATCATCATCAAAGACACCAAGCTCATCACCTGAATCTATTTCGTCGTCATCTTGGCCAGCTTCGTCCGCCGTTTGTGACTTTTTTTCTTCGTCGTCGGGCTTCCCCTGCTCCTCTTCTACATCGTCCTCGTATTCGGGGCCTAGCTCCTCAAACCTGTGGCCCGGATGCAATATGTCTTTGCTTCGAATGCATTTGTAGCACAAATCGAAGCTACGCGACTCGCAATCAAGGCACTTCCACCTTTTGCCGAGAATTCCCTTGACAACAAGCGTTAGTACTCCTCCACACGATGGGGCTACGTGCATGTGTATACTCACCAGTAGACAGTGGTCGCAGGTGACATTGCCCTTCCAGTCGCCCATCCTCACTTGGTGGTCTTTGTCGTTCCAATCCTCCGTCGTGCCGTCGGTGCGTGTCCGCGACTTCTCCTTGGGAGTCAGCAGGTCGAACACTTCATCTGTCGACCCATAGTACCGCGCTATCTTCAGAGGCGTCCATTGTCGGTCGGCGCCCTCGCCCACGTCCCACAGGTTGGCTCCCCGGTCCAGGAGGGCCTTCAAGCCGGCATGGTTATTGTAGTTGCCCTTGGCGGCCCACATAAGAGGTGTCCAACCGTCGTTGTCCTTGTCGTTGATATCAAACGGAAGTTCTCTGCGGGTTGACTTTTTGTCGGTGCCGTCCTCCTCCTCCTCAGCTTGAGCCGGCGATTCAATCCTTACATTCACGTCAATGCTGTCGTCACTTCTACCCCCTGCTGACTCCGCCTCTATGTCGTCTTGATCTTCATCCGACTTCAGATTGTCCAGGTCGTCCCCTGGACCCTCGACGTGTCGTAGCAGCCGCATCAATGGCGCGGATGACCAGGGATATGCCGCCGCGAAGTGCACCGGCAAGGCTCCAACATTTGTACGTGCCATGATATTGGCTCCTTTCTTGAGCAGTAAGTCCATGATGTCGGCGTCGGGGAACTTCATTGCTACAACATGCAGGGCGGTCCGGCCCATACGATCGGCCACATCGAGATTGGCCCCGACATCGATGAGATATTCCATTACCTCCTGTCCATGCGAAGAGAACACAGCTGCGAGTATAGGATATCCGAAGACGCTGTCGGGGGAGTATTTATTGGGATCTTCTTTTGCCTCCTCGACGAGATATTTGGCAATCTTCAGATGTTCCCCCTGCGAGTTGCCAGTCGCGACCTTGTACAATGGTGTTATCCCGTAGTCGGCAGAGCGAGCCGCATCCACATCGCAGCCCGCGTCGATGACCGCTTTGAAAATGTCCCATCGACCTGAGAAAGCGGCCACGTGGAGTAGGGACCCCTTGGTGGGAGTGTGCTCGTTAACTTTTGCGCCATTCGCCACCAGGAGCTTGAACGCGTCTATGTTAAGGGCGAACACGCATCTCATCAACGGGTTCACTCCGTCCAGGTTTATTGCATTGACATCGGCACCTGCACTGCAGAGCTTCTCTATGTTGCTTTCGGGTGTGTAGTGCTCGATGTTATGCAAAACCGTACTGCCTGCCGCGTCCGCGAGTTTCAAGTCCATACTTGTTGGGCGGAGTTTGAGCAGCATCTCCATCATTTCGGTGCTATGGAGGCTAAACTTCAGCGGGAAGCTTCCATCTTTGGTCTGGTGATTCACATCTGCCCCGGCGTTGAGAAGCAGCTCTACGGTGTGGAGGTTGCCCCTCTGGCACGCAATGCAGAGTGCCGTCATACCGTCTTCGTAGGCGTCCAGGCGCTCGCCATCCAACCTGGCAACCGTCTCGATCTCGAGGTCCGGCTTCGGATCGTGTCCCAATAACAAAGTGATCACCTCTGTCATTCCGTGTTTGGCAGCAAGATACGTTGCTGTGCCCGAGTCGCACAACGCATCGACATCGGCACCGGCGTTCAAGAGGAGTTCTGTTATGCGGGCGCTGTCGTAACCAGCGTGCAGCGGCGTCCAGCCCCATTCGCTTTTCAGATTGACGTCGGCGCCGTGTTCAAGCAGTAGCTCTACAATTTCTGTCAAGCCTTCGTACGCCGCGACGTAGAGAGGCGTCTGCGAAATCTTTTGGCCCAGGCCCGTCGGAACATCGTGTTCGAGCAAGAACTCGACCAACTCTTTGTTTCCCGTGCCTACGGCCCTTGACATCACGTTGTTGCGCCATGACTGCGTTGTATCCAGAACATCGAGGCGAGCTTTGTGCTCGATAAGTAGCTTCAGTATCTCTATAATCTTGTTCGTCGGCATAGGGTACGAGATCACGGAGATCAATAAAGGTTCGGAGTCTTCGGGAGTCTCGTTGGGGTCGGCTCCGTGTTTCAGGAGTAGTCGACACGTCTCGATCTGCCCTCTTGAGGCGGCATACCATAAAGCCGTTTTCCCTTCAAGCTTGACGCTAACATCAACGTTGTGGTTCAGCAGAACTTTTAGGCACTCGTCGTACTCGTTCAAGACAGCATATATCAGAGGTCTGGCGGTCCATGTCTCTTCTATTATATCCCAAGATTCGGGATCGCCGAGACTGGCATCGGCGCCGGCTTCAAGTAGAGCCTTGGCTGCCTGCGGATTTCCGCCGAACAGCGCCATCTGTAGAGGCGTGGTTCCCTCAAACTCTTCCTCTTCTTCTCCCATACTGTCTCTGGCATTTATATCAGCACCAGTGGCGAGCAGTGACTGTATGACATCTACTCTTCCATAGTAAGCTGCCAGGTGAAGAGCCGTCTTGCCATTGTTCACAGTTGCATTGAGGTCGCACTTGGCCTCAATCAGCAGCCTGGCCATTTCCGAATGGCATCCCTCAATCGCCATGTGCACTAATGCCGTCTCGAAGCTATCTTCGAATGGGGGCATGGGGACGTTTGAGGAAAGCAGTAGCTTCGCGGTTTTCGTGAGGCCCAGCCATGCAACCCGTCGAAACAAACCTGGCGGCCAGTCGAAATCTTTTGCCTTGGCCGCCACGCCAATTAAACGATTAAGAATAGCCTCGTCACCAGTAGCGGCAGCCGCTAGGAGAGCCTCGCTCAGGACGCCGTGAGTTGGAGTGATCGCTTCCAGCAACAGTTGAACGACATGGTTGTGGGCGCCGTGAGCTGCCTCTACGAGGGCCAGACCCGCATCGGCCAAAAAGAGGTCGACGCTGGTGGGTGAGGAGGGCCGTTCGGCTTCGACCTGATGAGCAACGAGGTCTTTCAGCCCCGTCATGCAGATGATGGGTAGGGCTGAGATGTAGCCCCTGTGTATCCGCGTCATGGGGTTGGATAAGACATAGACGGCCTGCTGCCACAAGTTTCGGGCTTTGGAGTCCTCAAAGAGTTTGAGAGCTTGTGCTTTGGGGCGATGGGATGCAGCCAGTTCGTAGTGCTTAGTCCAGTATTTGGCAGCGTAGGAAACCAGATTGTAGCGTGGTCGCGATACTGGGGCCTCGTCAAGGAACGCGTTCTTCTCGATCAGGTCTTCCAGCTTGCTCCGGACCTCTGGGAGAACAAGATACTTTAGACATATCGAGGCCATTTCTGCATGAGCAGTCGCAGCGTCGTCATGTACAAAAGCCGCCTCGGCGAATCCATGATCTAGATCAATTTCGTACCCTTCATAGCAGAGAAGCCCCGCAAACTCCCGTAAATCATTGTGGAGCTTATCGTAGTCGATGTCGTCAAGGTCGTCGGTTTCTGGTTCATTGGCAGCAATGTGTAGGGCTTCTCCAACCTCCCACAGGGTCGGCTTTTCAAAGGCAAACTTGACCCAGAAAAGTAATTTGTGAGCTTTCGCGGCTCGGGTGCCAAAAGAATCCAAGGTAGCAGCCATGAGAGCCCCTGTCGTCAAAGGCGTCAACCTGTCTAAAGTCTTGCGGATAGAAGTACGGGTGTTGTTGGTCAGAGTGCTGTCCGCGAGCCACCGGATAAAAAAGCAGGCCAACCGACGTTCCTGGCTACTAGTTCCGCTGACCAACTCCTGGATGCGGTCTTTGAAATTCACGAACACGGGCTTGACGGCCATAAGCCGCTGGGTCACTTCGTTGAGAACCTTCTCGGCTGCTTTCGTGGCTGCGGCTTCTTCTTTGGGGCTCTTCACTAGATCGTCCATATCAATGGTGGGCCAAGAAGCAAGTTGCGATTCGAGGCGCTCATCACGCCCTTTTGAGGTGGTCACCACGAACCTAACCCGCCGCTCGGAGAGTCCGGCCGTTGCATTGAGGTATTCAAGCAACTTATACCGTGTCTCGTCGCATTCGTCGAGACAGCAAATGAAGAAGACGGCTTTGTTGAGGTGTACCGCGCGGTGGTAAGACCAAAAGAGCTGAAAAAGGTCTTGAGTTGTGCAAGCGTTCTGTGACGCCAACAAAGCCCAGCAAAATGAATATCTGAAACCCTCAATATACCGCCCTACTATCTGGGAGTTCAGAGATGCGAAAAGGCCCTGAAGTGTGTTGAATCTGGCGTCTCGGCGTGAGAAGCTGTGGTAAAAGAGGCTCTGTTTGTTGTCCGTACCCTTCATGTCGTCAAAGAATTGGGGCGACAGCACCTTCGCATAACGGTCAGGACAGCGAATATGCAGTATCCCGAGACCGGGAAGATCCTGCCATTTCTTGTACTCGCCATGATCCGTGATCCACTCGCATGCATCCGTGTCGTCCGGCTCCCAGGTGAAGTCCTCGAAGTCCCAGGGAACCAGCGGGGATGCTTGGGAAAGAAGGATCTTATGTAGGGGCGTATCGGGGGCGTTGGGTTCAAGAGCTGTTTTCCTTCTTGTAAGCAGGGTTGTTTCCCCGCGCATATCAAATCCTTTTCCACCAGAGTATGCTGCAGCCCTGTGGCATATTTCGGCTGTCGTCTTGCAGTTGAATCTACAAGACTAGATTATGAAATGTAAGGGACGCAAACTTACTGTACGGGTATTCGCCGATTTGAGGACCCAAGGTCGCAGCCAATTGCTCTTCACCATGTGGAAGCCCATCATCCTCTCCAAGGACCAATCTGAGATGCGGAGTTGACCATCCGAGGCAAAGCTCAAAGGGAACATCAGCACCACAAGAGGACGGCCAGAACGGAGTAGGCAGACCACGGCCGGTGTGGGGGTGTGGGGGTTTAACCGTGAAGGTGTAAATGTTGATCAATGTGGCACGGAGAAAGGCCTTCGTGTCGAGGAACTCGGCATTGATACGCAAAGTAGCGGAGGCAAGGTTGACTATTGTCTCAGTTGCTCGTATTCTGTATGAGTCTGGAAGGTAAAGCAGTTGCGCAAAGGAGTTCTCCAACTCTAAACGCGGGGCACGGTGTGGACAGGCGAGAAAGAGCTTCATCAGTTAGCCGGACGTTCATGTGAGAGAGATGAGATCTCTTTGAATGCTAACCTACCAGCATCGAGTTATAGTACAGGATATCCTTGTACTTTACAGGATTCAGAGACGCTAGGACCAGGGCCTTTTCTGTAATTAGCTACTGACTTCGAGGCGAACCCAACACAAAGAGATATGAAATTTGAACAGGGCAGGTGTCGGGTCAAAGTAAGCTGTACCTTTTTAACGATGATTCCACCGACATCGTGGGAGACGAACACAATCGGCCGTGGGTTTTCATTCGGGGGGGTATCTTCCCGTTTCTCCAAAACTGCGTCGAGAAGCTTTTGTGCCTCGCGTTCGATCCCACCACGGCGGAGCACGTCGGGGACAGTCTCATTATAGTGATCAATATCGTAGTGATAATGCATTACGCGGCTGGGATTTATGAGATCCGATACCCAAGAAGCGCTGCTTTTTGTGCCGTCCAAAGGACTCCAGTTGCCGCTCTTCAAGTCAGTCGTCCAGGAGGTATAACAAATACCGTGGACGGTAATGACGCTATTAGCCCCGTTAGTCAAAATGTCCCTTAAAGCAAATTTGGGGAGTGTTTGATGAGAGAGTTCAAAGGACTAAAAATATCGAGAAAAACAACCCGGAATGAACCTTCTTGACTTACTCGGCTTTATAGATACCCTCTGCGTTGCCCTCCGGTAAGAGCCCATATTCGGGCTCTCTTTGCACAGGCTGAGACTCAGATGCGGCATCCATACTGTCGGCGTGATCGGAATAAGTCTTCCCAAGCTCCACATCGGGGTTGTTCTTTATCTCAGTCTCGAGCTCGTCGCACTCAGCCATCAATGTGTCTCGTTCTTCTGTTGGCTTTGAATGATTGTCATCATCCGGCTCATTATTGTCCGAACCGAGTGGTTGCTGGCCCTCGTCGGAATTATGGATATCAGTAGGTGCGTCCACGCTGTCCTTGATGGCAGACATGGTGGTCATTGTTGTGTCCGATGGCCTCTGACCTTCATGGACTTGGCAGAGGGGTGTTATGGGAGATTTGACGTTCCAATTGCTTGCCCCAAAGATCGAGGTGTCTGGCAGCCATGATAAGAGGTGGTGATCAGACGAGCGAAGGGTGTTGGCCTCATCCACCAACGGAGCGCCTCGCACCTGATTCACTGGGTGCTGGGTTAAAGAAAAGGAGCCGCGCGCCAGTTTGCTAGAGAACGAGAAATGGGAGCCAAGCAAATCAATGTAACTCATGTCCGGTTAGTGCATTGGTTCCTCCGCTGTGCTGACTGCATGCGTGTCTCCCACATGGGCCCTCAAGACGGGGTTCCCCTCGCTCCAAAGTACCGATACATGAAGGTACGTAGGATTTCTTCAATCTGAGCTGACCATAAGAGCGGAAGCTGTCAACCTCGGGTTCATGATATTAGATCCCGAACAAGGCATCACATACTGGTCGTTGACTTGGACATACGCCAATAAGCACTTCAAGTAACCTTCTGCTTGGAGTTCGTCCTCACGCGAGTTGCCGAAGCATTGTTGGACCCATTTTCGCACTCATCTACACACTTTCTACACACATTTTCCTACCTTTGCAACAGCAATGGCTGATTTCGCGGCCGTCAAGGACGAGAGCGAGCTCGAAATGCTCGAGACAGGAGACGACGTGCTGAGCTTTGATGTGGAGCTCGCCGCCGGCGACAGAGAGTCGAGCTTCCATACCAAGAACGACCGGGAGGACCCCTTCCAGCGAAGCAACGTCGTCCAGCGAAAGGGAGCCGTCGATGTCAAATGCACTTGCGTCGATATCATTCACGGTAGCTGGGGCGAAGACGATGATGACGCGCGCGCGACTCTGCTAGTTCTGCTCTTCCGCTTCGACCCGCGCCGGCGCGCGCGGCGCGTGGCACTGGCCAACATTGAGTTTGTCTTCTTCGACTCCCAAGGCCGGCACCGCAAGAACCCAGAGGTCGCTTTCATGTCGTTCGACGACAGCTTCAGCCTGGTGCCCACGCAGCGGACAGAATCAATGACGCGGGGCGCCGAAGGCACCGTCGGCGGCGGCCTCCTCGGTGCGGAGCTCTCGGGGACGGTCAAATGGGAACACCGCGTCGAGGAGGAGACTACGGACGCTGCGCACGTCGTTGGATCCATCGACCGGCTGGGTGCGCCCGCCGGCCCGTCCAACGCGGCGACCTGGACGCTCAGGGAGAACGCAACGACCAAGAAGGGCGTACCCGCGGCGATGCGTGTTGGCATTGTGCTCAAGCGGTCCACCGACGACGACTTCTTCTGCACCGTCAAGCTGGAGACCGAGGTTGACCTGAAGACGCGCGTCGAGCAGCTCTTTGGGGGCCGCGACTCGGACGACCCGATCCTGTTTCGCACGCAGCTGCCTCCCACCAACAAATTAATGAAATACAATGTTGATAATCTTGGGGATTTCGACCTGTCTCTGGTCGAAGATGTGACGGTTACCACGGTGAAGAGCGGAGTTGTCAAGGAGCAGTAAGACGGGCGCATCGGACGACAGAGGTGGAAGATGAGTATCCTTGTCTGCCGTATGGCAACCCATTTGTGGAGATATATAAAGCGTTATTTGCAGTTCATAAGATGTACGAAATTCAGTCCCGTTTCAGACACCAGGCTGCGAGGGGTACAGAATCCTCACGAGTTGCCCATTGACTCTGTTGCTTTTAAGACCAGGATATAGCTGGCAGCAAGAAATGTACCTGTTCGTACCTGCACTCGTCCCGACAAGGGCCATCTGAAGTGGTGTTGTGCTTTACCCTGGACGCCAAACCGCGCTATCGATGTTCGGATGCGGCACGACGTGTAAGGCTGCGACAAAGTTCCCATTGACAATCGGACCGGAGAGGAAGGGCAACTAACTTGAACTTGGGGGCGGAGAGGGTCGGCCGCATCGGGTATGGCCCTCAAGAGGTCGATTTACCACCTTGTGCAGCCTTGCCAGTTGATGCGGCAATACTTCCAAGATTAATCTTTTCCTTTGCCTGGCGGATTCTCTCTCACTCTTCTCGTTGCATTCTCAATTTGTGCTTCAATGAGTTGGGTCTCCCCATACGTTTCTCCCGCCATCGAACCGCCACTCGACACAGCATTTACTCTCAACGACCTGGCCGTAGGGGCTCATCAACCATGGACGGGTTCGATCGCCTGCCTAATGATGATAGCGACAGTGATGAAAACCTCGACATCCGGGATGATGCCTCCGATAATGAAGACAATGAGACGCATCCCAATGAAGAGAGTATACGCAAGTTCATGACAGACATGGAAAACGCCCCCCAAAGAATGCTTGAGCGGCTCGAGAACAACCCTCAACAGATTTTTGACATCTACCTCCTCGACTCGCCGGTGGAATTAGGCATTAAGACGGTGCTACATCATATAGTCGACAAGTTCCCCAAAAGAAACGCCAACAACACTCTCAGGCGCGCCATGCTGTTGGCAGCCCAGATTATCACGGCGCGGTACCCGCACCTCCTCAAGATGCCCGCGGAAAACGGCATCACGCCGCTGTACAGCGCCCTCTCGGCCTCTGAGAACTTACTGGCACTCTCCATGATATTGAGCTGCAAAAAGGCCAAAGAGGGCACGGGAGACGACGACAGGGCAAGTGGCAGCGACGAGGCGTCCGACCTGCTCACTGAGGCCCTCGCCGTGAGGTGTGTCAGCGGCAACCGGGATGAAACCGTGCTGCACCTGGCAATGCGCAACCGCGCAATGTTCGTCGCGAAGAAGGCGAACAATAAGTTGCCCATGAAGGCCCTAAAGATAGTGGCAGAGCAGGCGGGCGAAACTGCCGTGGTCGCCCAGGACGCGTCCGGGCTCACGCCTCTACACTATGCTGTCGACTATAGATGGAGCTCCGAGGCGCAGCACAACGTCGTGAGCCGGCTGCTGCGCGCCGGGGACTCCGAGGCCCTCATCAAGCAGGGCAGGGCCGTCCTCGACCTCTTCACCAATGAGGACCCCCGCGTCAAGAAGAACGCCGGCGCCAAAAAGGATCCCGGAACCAAAGAGAGCCCCCAAGCTAAAGGTGTCGGTCTGTCGGTTTACGAGTACCACTTATGGACGCGAGCGGAATTTCAGGAGCCGTCTACGCAAGCCAAAAAGTCGAGCGAACCGGACTCTTCAGCTCCCGGGGCAAAGGGGCAGGCGTCGGTAGGGAAGCGGCCCGGAGCGGAAGGTTCCAAGGATGCACCCCGCAATGTGATGGATGGCAACAGGGAGCGAGAAAAAGAGCCCGCCGGCCATCATCGAGATCGAGGGCAGAACGTGAACCGGGATGCGGAGCGAGAAGACAGAGGGCAAGAACCGGGCCGAGAATATATACGCACAGCCCCCGCTGACCAGAGAAAGGAAGCCCCCGGCGGCAAAGAAGGATCCGGGGGTAAGGAGGGCCCAGGAGGCAAGGAAGGGCCCGGCGGACCAAAGGACCGGGAAGCACCAGGTGCCAAAGAGGGTATGAGGCGTGGTCGGGAGATGCTACCGCCGATCCGCACGGGGGCGGTCCGAGACGGCAGTGAAAAACCAAATAGGCTCCACCCGGGCGGCCCCGACACGCCCGTGACGCAAAGGCTGAATCGGGCACCGACGGCCGGCCCTCCCGTCGCGGAGAAGCCGGCGGTGGGGAAGCCGATGGCCGTAAAGGAGGAGGAGAAGGACAAAAAGAAGGAGAAGGAGAAGGAAAATGGGAGTGAGATGGTCCAAGAGCAGACTCCCGAGCAACGCAAGAAGATCAGAGACGAGTGGTCCGACAAGATACAGCTGATGCTAAAGACCCGGTGCCTGAGAACCCGGTCCCACGAGAATTCTACACGATTCTTGTACGGCGATAATCCGAATGGTAGGTCCACCAACGCAGTGGATAGCACGTACGCTGCTAGAGGCGTTGCTAAACAACTTTCTTAGATATCCAAACTTGGTTTGACTACCAGGGAGTTGCGAAGGAGGTCGAAACAGACGTCTTTGAGGCAACGTTCAAAGACGTCGTTTTCGACACGGTACTCAAATACGTCGCCTTTCCCCCTATCCGCGTTCTTAACTGGGACAAGGGGGATAAACTCCTCCCCCGTGCCGGCCGAAGCGGTCGGACCGACATGCTCTTCTTCTTCGACTGGCTGAAGAAGAAGAAGAATGTGAAGCGCATCTTAAAGGTCATAGTAGATGACTCGTCTGAGGTGCCTCACTCGGATGAGGCCATCGAGAAAGCACTCCAAGGATTCGGCGTTGAGTCGCTTGAATGGTCGAAGCCGGATCTGGACCCCGAGACGATCTACAATGCGTGCCCAGAGCTGACCGACATCGTGCTTCGTTGGAGCGGGAACAACGCAGTTCTCCGTGCATGGGGCGAGCCGGAAGGCCTCCGGCGATTACCAAGCTTACGGAATGTCCTGGTTATAATAGACCCGGTAAGTGATCAACTCATCAAAAGACACCGAAGGCCCCCACTGACTGGTTCCCAACGGAAGACTCGGACACTCGAGCACCCAGAGCGTACCATGTCCAACATCACTAAATTCAAAGAACGCCTAAAAGAGGGATGTCCGCAATACGTCCAGAAATACCTTGAATCAAAGAAAGACACTAAACCCAAGATGAACGTTCCGAACATGGGCCCCCCGCCGCTGCAAGGCCAAGCTGGTTCTTCACCTCCTCAGAAACCCATCGTCCGCGCCGTCGAGTGTATTTCCTTGTTGGATGGCCCACGGCGTTCCAACGCGTTGCTCGGCGCATCGGTTCCCAGCGTCGACCGCCCCAGCATCTCAACGCCACCGCACCGCTGGCTGGAAGCAACCGACAGCTTCGCCGACCGCATCAGAACCATCTGGAACGACATCCTCGACGAAACGTCTCCGAAGAAGCAGCATTCTCGGAAGACCGCCTCGGGCGGCGGCGCGCCGTTGGCCAACACCTCAGCGAGCCTCTCCAAGCCGACCAGCGGCCTGGTGCCGGAGGAGGTCATTGTCGCGCTCATCGACGACGGGGTCGACACAATGGCGGACCAACTGCAAGGGCGGATCCTCCCGGGGCGCACTTTTGGCTTCGAGGGCGACCGCAACATGCCGTGGTATGCGTCCGAGACGGGCCACGGGACGGTTATGGCCAGCATGATCGCGCGAGTGTGCCCAATGTCCAAGATCTATCCTATTCGTCTCAACACGGGGGCGAAGTTGACGGCCGGGGCGGGGGCTATGATCGACGTGGAGTCGGCGGCGCGGGCGATCCGCGCCGCAGTCGACCGCGGGGCCACCATCATCTCCATGTCGTGGACGGTGACGAAGCCTCCGGAAGACCTGCGCAAGATCTTGGTGGGCGCGCTGCAGTACGCGATCGACAAGAAAGTGCTCCTCTTCTGCTCGAGCCGCGACGCGGGCGACGGCACCGACATCATGTACTATCCGGCGGCGTGGAACCAGAACTCCGTGATCAAGATCGGCGCGGCGCAGCCGTCGGGCCTGCCATACAAGTGGGTGGGCTCGCTCCAGAACGTCGACTTCATCCTGCCCGGGGTCGAAGTAGTACAGCGGCATTCGTTCCGCAGCTCCGCCGACGTCAAGAAACTGCCGGTGGAGACGGGGTCATCGGTGGCGACGGCGCTGGGCGCGGGGCTGGCGGCGCTCATCCTCTACTGCGCACGCATCAACCAGATGTACGGGTCCGGCGTGCGGTTCGGCCCCGCCGATATCCTTGAGCTGCGCAATGCCAGGACCATGGTGAAGGCAATCCAGCGCTTTGGCATGAGCAACTTGGACACGGACAGCACCAAGAACAAGTTCGTCGAGATCTGGAGGAAGCTCGACGACAAGACGGCCAAGATTAGCAGGGCCAGCTCCAGAGAAAAGCGGGAAATAGTGGCTCAGTTAGCTCGAGATTTGCACACGCCGTTGGCCAGTTGAAAGGGGTTCGAAATAAACCCTGTCGTAGTATATCTAAATAATAAGGAAACGAATATATGAGTAGATGAATAGACGAGTAATAGTGAATAGATGACTGGATGAGATGAGATGGGTTTAACCTCATCAAGTATGCATTTGGCAGCCATGAACTAAGTGAGACGCAAGAATGGGGCCTTAGGAGATGTGCTGCTTTCAACCTTGGTCTCCCACATCGACCGAGTCTGCTCGAAATTACCAAAAGCACGTCTGTCATCCTGGCCCTCGCCTGCCTCGATCACCCCCTCTACTATCAACATGCTTCCATGAGAATGATCTCAGAAAAGAGCTGCATTGGCATCCCGCTGGTCTGTTTGGCACTTCTGTCCATTTTTATTTCGTTAGTCGCCCCTTCTTGTATCCTCCCCGTCGTCCCCGACATCATAAAGGCGGAAATAGACGGAAACAATTCCTTTGATGGCGACGTCATCTTGTTATTAAACATGGTTCTTACTGACAATTCGTCATGCAGAATTTGACCGCTGCTCTCTGTTGACATCTTGTACAAAGCTTGCTTTACCTTCTTGCTCGCGATTGCTTACATTATTAGGCACAAGATATTCCTTTTACCTCTAATTCTCATCTTTATCATCATTTCAGTAACACAAGAGAAACACGAACATCTTGAAATTTCACACGCCCCCAACTGATTGTCTACAGCCTCCGCAATTATTACCTTTACTGGTAGAAGTTTAAAGCAGAGATGACTCATGTGCCTGATGCGAAAGAATCTTGGACCAGGTTTACTGCTCTGCGATTATACTCTGTATCCAGCCGAGAAACATGTTGCCGGTCCAGGATGGCTACGTGGCTGGTGCGATCGGTATTCTAAGACAGTAATTAAACATGTCGTCTCCGGGGACACCAGACCTCTGTTTACTTTGGCATTTCTTTTTCTTGCTCACGCAATACATAAATTAACCGATGGTCCATCTTCGTAAACAATCCAAATGGCAGGCTGGAGGCCAAGGCAGTCTCTAATTACGTGTTTAGCGTTTACTCGTATACTCTCCCTTGGCCGCTACTTGACTTTCTAAGAGGCTAAACGGACACGCCATGACCAATTTAAATGATAATTCAGTCGTTCTCCTCCGGCAGTCGCGGCTTCTCCTTGGGAAGCCTGTAGTCGAAGACTTAGAGAGATGGTGCTCCCGACACAAAAGAAGGCGAGAGGGTATCATTCCACGGCTGGCGGTCGTCTATTTCGATACTGGAGCCGATGCCAGAGAATATCTTCACATCAAGGCCGAAGTGGCCGCCAAGGTATGTATTTCTGCTCTGCAATAGTTAATCCCACCAACTCACAGGTATCTCAACGGGTTCTAGGCCGGCGTAGACTATACCACACACAAGCTCTTGCCGGACGCCTCAATAGAAGAGGTGATTAATAGGATTGCCACGTTGAATGAAGACGGTTGCACGCATGGAATTCTTGTCCAACGGCCTATACCAAAACAACTATGCGAAGAGACGGTAATGAAAGCAATTGTGCAAGAGAAGCACGTTGAGGAGTACAGGCAAGGCAAACGCAGCAACATTGCAGTTGATGGGCTAAGGCGATTACTGGCTGCATACCGCAAAGAATGGATGCTTAAACTCGACATTGTTCTCCTAGGAGGAACCAACATTATTACATCAGAGTTCAAAGCGGAAATGAAGCGTCGCTTTCGCTGGGTCAATTTTAGCACAGCACTGGAGGGGAGATGTTTTGGAAGTGAACGCGAAACGGTTATCATTACGGAAATGAATAATGGCGGGTGTATTAAGCCAAGGATGGTTGGTCCGATGGTGAAGTTGGTAATTGACCTGGGCTTTGATGTCAACACCGGTATGGGAGATCTAGACCCTGCGGTGCAAAGGATGGAACACATACTCATAGTGCCTACCCCCGGAGGTGCTTTGCCTATTTTATTATGGCTTATGATGGAGCGTACGATCAAAAGTTCATCACAAGTATGTCAGGGGAAACACCTACGCAGCATGACAAGAGTCTTCGGATGTAATATTTTGTAGCAATACATTGATTTAACATAGACTGAAACAAATTAAGCCACAAATGCTCTTGAAATGTCCGAGACAAGAACTAGCTTTATAACCAATAACTTTCTAAGATTAGTAAATATCTTGATAGAATTCCTAGCTTAAGTATTGTAGTAGTGTAAGATTAATTATCATCTTATTACCTAGTGTAAGACTAATCACCTTACCCTAACCCTTATTCTATTTGTATAACATACTAGTAAACTGATTAACAACCTACAGTTTGTCTTATAGCCTTAGCTTCTCTTAGTAGAACCTACCGTCTGTTACGGCTAGCTAACTGACAGTGGGTTTGTGTTAACAGTAAGCCAGGGATTGAGAGTAGTAACAGTCGTTCCGTGGTCCTGGTCGAATAGATCGTAGATCTTCAAAGGTCTTGGTGATCAGTCAAGGCCTCAACAAGAGTCGTAGAGTAGTCGTCACTTAGGTATAGCTGAAAGTACCGGTTAGGGTAATCACAAAGTTGATTGCTGAAGAACTAGGAAAGGTAGGACTCGAGAGGACTCGAGTCCCAACTATATACAAGTCTGGTTCCATGCTGAACACTTCCTGATCCTGGGGGACCGACACCCAGGACGTCGGTCCATCGCCATGGACCGCCCTTGGCACCGTCGGTCCTGTCCCAGGACCGCTTATCGTCCGTCGGTCCTGCTTATCGTCACGTGACCTGTATCCTAGTTCTTCCGTTCCGTGGGGGTTGTTACGACGTAACGGCTGACGGCCGTCCCTATAACCGCTGGGCCCCTGCGGGGTCGTCGTCAGTGGTCTGTTAACTGTCGGGTCGTAACATCAGCTCCCCTCTTAAAGGTCTTGTCCTCGAGACCTGAGTATAAGTAGGTCGTTGGTCCCAGGTTGGGGATCCACAAATTTGCTTCCTTTGTTTTTCATGATGCTGACACCATGTCAGGTCGCGTTCGAAAGACAAAGTCGCACTTGACTGTGATAAAAGATCGTGAGAGAGCTGCGCTTATTGAATACGTGGAGTCCCGATCGATTGCTAGCGACATGCCTTGCACTCGTTGTTTCCGTGCAAAGGTCCCGTGTCGTTTTGGCGAGAAGTCTACACGCTGTAGGACTTGCATCGAGGCGAAGAAACCTTGTGACGGCGTCCTCGTGGCGTCTACTCGTAAGTCGTGTTTTTGTGTTTTCGCTGTTCTGGGGGTTGCTAATGTTTGCTTCTAGTTCAGAAGTTGAACTCTCAGCAAAAGGAGTGGGATGAGAAAGAAGAGAAAGCGGGTGAGGAGCTATTCGCGCTTCATCAAGAGTTTGCTCGTTTGCAAGTTCAAATGGCGGATGCTGCGGGTCGTCTGAAACGGATTCGGACGGTCCGTAAGATAGTTCGGGAGCGGCAGACCGAAGTTTTTGAGCGTGGTATGCAGGAGGTTGACAGGGAGGATGGCGTCCTGGCGGACGACGAAGTCCTACCTGCCTTAGATGCTCACGAGAGGTTCGTCGTTAGTAACCTCCAGGCAGTAGGTCTCGGGAATGATCCTCCTTGGTCCCTTTTTGGTTTTGGTGACGAGTTTATGGGTTTGGGTCCTCTGGTGGATGGCGCGGGTGCGGGGAGTGTTAGAGGTTCCTCGGCTACTCAGGGCTAGGTATTCCTAGGCGAAGAAACGTTTTGTTGCCCTGGGGTTTCTTGGTTGGTCGAAACTTAGGTTGAGGGTTTCTGACGCGAGGGTTGTGTATTAGTCTTTGCATGACTTTGGCGTGCTGTCGTGTTTCCCATTGCGTCCAGTATTCTTGAAGTTCCTCTTGTGCGTGCTCCAAGTTTGATGCGGGTTCCCATGTGTTTTCTTCGTGTCCGTAGTTTTTCCACTTGATTAGGTATTATATTTCTGTGTCATCGTGCTGATCGATGTGATCGAGGATCCTTTCGACCTCGTAGTCCTGTTCCGGGTCGACTTCGATGTAGTCCATAGTTCGTGATCCTTTTGGTGCTAGCTCGAGAAGTGAAATATGAAAAACTAGATGACACTTCATAGTGTCTGGTAGTGCGAGTTTGAAGTTGACGTTAGATACCTTCTTCGTGATTTCGAAGGGTCCAAGTTTCTTAAAGTCCAACTTATCGCTTGGTCGTTTTGTTTTGATGTTCCGGCGGAGAAGGTATGCGCTATCCCCCTCCTTCAGAGTTGGTCCCTCAACTCTTGTCTTGTCAGCGTATTTGCGCATGCGTTCGCGCACAAATTCAAGGTCTCTAGGAAGATCTCGTTGGATTTCCTTGAGTTTGTTAATATCTGCCACAGCTTTCAAAGCTGTTAGGCCTTGTCGGGGTTGTCCATAGGCTGTCGGGTTGAATCCGTAGTTCAAGTAGAATGGTGATTCTTTTATACTTTCTCCTACTGCGCTGTTGTAAGCGAACTAGGCCATAGGTAGCAGTTGGACCCAGTTGTTTTGCTAATAGTTGACGTAGCAGCGTAGGTAGGTTTCCATGATCTGATTGATTCGTTCTGTCTAGCCATCGGTTTGCGGATGGAAAGCGGTGGACATCTTGTAGTCAGATCCTAGCTGCGAGATCAGGGATCTCCAAAACTTGGAAGTGAACAGCTTGTCTCTGTCGGATACGATTTCCTTCGGCATTCCGTGTTGGCTTACGATCACCTGCAGAAACTTGTAGGCGAGGTCTTCTGCAGTGCTTGACTCCATGTACGGAATGAAGTATGAGTACTTTGTGAGTCTGTCGACGATGACGAGGACACTATCGTAGTGGACGTTGGTCATCGGTTCTCGGGACTTAGGTAACTTAGTAACGAAGTCCAGCGAGATGGATTCCCATGCGGTTTGCGGCACTGGGAGCGGCTGTATCTTTCCATAAGGCTGATGTCGGCTGGGTTTGCTTTTTGCGCAAACCTCACAGTCCTTAATCGCTAAAGATACTTCTTGTCGTATAGCCGTTTTGTCGTAGTGTTGACGGATGCGTTTCCACGTTTTGGTTACGCCTTGGTGACCATGTGCGGGTGCGGAGTGTATCTCCCTAATGGCTTCAGGAGACATCCTTCCAGGCGTGCTGGTACTGTCTCTTCTGGCCATCATTAAGAGTCTGGCTGCTGGCACAAGGTCTCCGTTTTTGTCTGTTTTGAGGATAACTCGGGTTTCCTCAGGTACCTAGACCTCGTGGTCCGGTCGTCGGCTGAGGGCGTCGGCCCTGCCGTTCTCCTTGCCCTTCCGGTAGATGATTCTGAAATTAAATTCTGACAAGAATTCGGACCATCGAATTTGTCGTTTGTTGAGATCTTTCGATGTGGTGAAGTGTGCGAGGTTCTTGTGGTCGGTGTATACTTTGACCTCGTACTTGGTTCCTGAGAGTTGCGGTCTCCATTCTTTGAATGCCTCGATAATTGCCATAAGTTCCTTGTCGTGTATCTAGTAGTTGAGTTCTGGGCCGTGTAACTTGCGTAAGAAGAAGGCGCAAGGGTATAGTCGTCCTTCGTCGTCTCGTTGGCCTAGTTATCCTCCTATAGCGTAGTCTAAGGAGTCGGTCTCGACTTCGAATGGTTTCTCGGGGTTTAGTATAACAAGTATTGGTTCCGATGTGACTTGTTGTTTAATCTCGTTGAAGGCTTGTTCTTGTTCTTCTTCCCATTGCCAGGGAACATCTTTCTTCGAGAGTCTCGTGAGAGGGTCGTTTTTGTCTGAGTACCCTTCTAGGAACCGTCGGTAGTAGTTCACATATCCAATAAAGGATTGTACGTCCTTAACGTTCTATAGTATAGGCCAGTCTCGTACTGCTGCGATTTTGTCTTTAGACATTTTGAGGATTCCTGGGGCTATCGTAAAACCTAGGAATTCGACTTCTTTGGCGTGAAACTTGCTCTTCTCGGGTTCCACTAGGAGTTTGGCGTCTTGCAGTTTCCGCAGTACTTGGTGTACGTGTTTTTTGTAGTCTTCCAGAGTCTTGGAGAAGATTAGGATGTCGTCGAGGTAAACTACGACGAACACATCTAGAAATTCTCGTAAGACGTGGTTGATCATCGTCTGGAATGTCGCGGGTGCGTTGGTAAGTCCGAAGGGCATCACAAGGTACTCGTAATGTCCTCGGCGTGTTCGAAACGCTGTCTTCCATTCTTCACCTGATTTCATCCGGATCAGGTTATAGGCTCCTTTTAGGTCGAGTGCTGTAAACCACTGTGCTCCGTGCAACAGGTCTCGTAGTTCGGAGATGAGCGGTAGTGGGTAGCAGTTCTTGATCGTAATGTCGTTGAGTTTCCGGTAGTCGACGCAGAGTCGTAGTTTGCCGTTCTTTTTTAGTACGAACAGGATTGGGTATCCCGCTGGTGATGTAGAGGGTCTGATGTATCCCTTCTGTAGATTTTCTTTGAGGTAAGCGTCGAGTGCTTCCATTTCTTTCTGGTTAAGTCCGTAGATTGCTTCTAGCTTTGGCTCCTTCCCTTCCTTAAGGGGTATCTCGTGGTCGTAGTTGCTGTGTTCCGGGAGTCCGGTCTCGAGTTCTTCGGCGAATAGCTTCTAGTATTGCCGGTATTCTTCTAGGATAGACAGAAGTCGGTCTTCCTTGCCGATGTCTATTGCTAATAACGTCCTGGCGTTTGCATCCTTTATCCGTAGGTATGCTAGAAATCTCTTCGCTTCAGGAGTCTTGAGAGGTTCGTTTAAGGCACCGTTCCGTAGTTGCTTCTCAGTGACTGAATCCTGGTCCCAATGGAGTTGGCCTGTTCTCCAATCTATCCGTGGGTTACTGTCGTATAACCATGGTCTTCCAAGGATGACATCGTACTTGTCTCCTATCTCCGTAATATCGAAGTTCAGTCGCTCATTCCGGCCATGGATCTGCAAAGGGAGTTACGCTGTCTCCATAGCAATGCGTCCTCCGCCGTACTGGACTTGTTCTCCTTCAACGGTACTAAGTTCGTAGCAGTCTTCGGCTGCTTTTCTTTTCCAGGTTATCTTTCTTTCATTCACCGTTCTTAGTGATATAAAGTTTCCTTAGGCTCCGCTGTCGATCATGGCGGTAGCTGTTCTTCCGTTGAGCTGTATTTAGACTTGTACATGCTCGTGTCGTTGTGTCGTAGGCGTCGTTGCGCTACATAGGGACCTTGTCTAGACTGCCTGTCGTTGTCCCTTGTCTTCGGTAGGCGAGTCTAGTTTTTTAACTGCTCGTCCGTTCCTTGTTCGTCGTTTTCTTGCTGTTTCTTCCATGCTTCGTCTTTCTTGATATAGTGGACTCGGCGCTGGTCTTGGTAGCAGTGATACCACTGTATTTCTTCGTCAGAGTCCTCTCCAGAGCTAGTATCGTTGACTGAAGCGACTTCAAAGGCGACTTCCAGTTGGGCATGTTGGCGGGCAACATCGCGAGGTGTTTCCGAGTCGTTAGGGGTGTTCTTAGTCGTTTCTAATTCGACCTATTCTTCCAGTTCTTAGTTGATTTAGCGGATCCGTGCGGGATCTCCTTGTGCATGTTGTCGTCGTTCGATGTGTGCGTCCAGCGCACCGAGTTGTCGTTGCCATATAGGGTTTTGTGAGTCCTGTTGAATCCGCTGCAGGTTGGCTTGTCGTCCTGCGTAGAGGAGGTTCAGTCTTCGCTGATTGTCTTGTTCTAATTCCTCGTTGTCGTTCATACTGTCGAGCTGTTCGATTGTCTTGCGCTCGATTTTGCTGTTGCTTCTATATCCCACAGCGAGGGTCCGTTTAGGTGCGTTGGTAGTATCGTAACCAGATCGTTCTTAAGGTTTCTAGGGGTACCATCCTGCGTGTTCCTTACTGCTAGAGTGGATATGGCAGTTGTCATCGAAGCAGGTGGTCTAGTTGAGTTGTTCATGAGGGATCGTCTTCGTAGCGATACTCGCTTATCGTTTCTCTGGTACCGGTTGGAAGCGTTCCTTCTTAGGTGACCTGCATTCGTATGCTAGGTGTCCAATCTTCTGGCAGTTATAGCACTGTCTATCTTTCTTCCAACTGTCGTTCTTTTTATCGTTTCTCTGTATAGCACTAAGGTCCATTAGTCCACTGTAGTAACCATAGGCAGTACTTTGTCGGGGGTTGTTCCAGTTGTTGCGGGGTCTATTGTCGTTTCGCTGGTTGTTGAACTGGTGCTGAGGCTGCCACTGGTACTTGCGTCCTGAGTTGGGGTTTTGTCGTTTTTCGCCTCTTTCCTTTCGTCGTTCGAAAAGCCGGTTGTCGATTTTGATAGCGAGTTCGGCGTACTAGAGAAAGTCGTCAGGTCGATCAATCTTGATAATCTCGTCCTTGACTTCGTCTTTTAGTCCTTGATAGAACATGAAGATCTTGGTTTCCTCGGTAAGGTCGAGTTGAACGCTAAGTTGTCGGAAATTGGCGGAGTAGTCTTTAGCGGACTTAGTCTGCTTAAGTTGTGCCAGATCTCGTTCGGCTTGTCGCTTTTCGTCGGGGTCTTGGAAGAGTGACCTGAGCGCATCCTCGAATCCTTTAAAATTGGCGTAGATGTCGCGGGTCTCGGTGGTGCACTCGTCGAGGGTCTCGCATTTGAGGTATTCTTCCTGGATTGGTTTAAACCACTTGAGGGCCTTTCCTCGGAGGTAGGTGGCTGCGTGTACTACTTTTTCGGTTTCGTTAGTGAAATCTCCATGGTGAAAGTTCTGGTAGTTTTTGACCTGAATCAGGAATC